TTTTTTTATAAATCGCGAGTATATCAACAAAACCGCGGGCACATCACGTAGTCTGGCCAAATCACATTTTATAACAACAACCATCAACAATAACTTCAACTCAACACATCACTTACTATATACAGGGGGTACATCACTTACTACAGGGGGTACAGGGATAACTTATATAAAGATTTTTTTTATAAATCGCGAGTATATCAACAAAACCGCGGGCGCATCACGTAGTTTGGCCAGAATCACATTTTATAACAACAACCATCAACAATAACTTTAACTCAATACATCACTTACTACAGGGGGTACAGGGATAACTAACAAAGATTTTTTTAAAAATCGCGAGTAAATCAACAAAACCGCGGGCGCATCACGTAGTCTGGCCAAATCACATTTTATTACAACAACCATCAACAATAACTTCAACTCAACACATCACTTACTACAGGGGGCACAGGGATAACTTACATAAAGATTTTTTTATAAATCGCGAGTATATCAACAAAACCACGGGCGCATCACGTAGTCTGGCCAAATCACATTTTATCACACCAAAAATCAACAATAACTTCAACTCTACACATTACTTACTATAGGGGGGAACAGGGATAACTTACATAAAGATATTTTATAAATCGCGAGTATATCAACAAACCGCGGGCGCATCACGTAGTCTGGCCAAATCACATTTTATAAGAACCATCAACAACAACTTCAACTCAACTCATAACTAACTACAGGGATATTAACATACATATTTAAAGATATTTTATAAAGCATAAAAGATAGCATACATCAAGAACAATATAAACGATCAAATACAAAAGTTGTAAAATATCATCACACTTACTCTATTCACAAAGAACGTCTTCTCGGCGCGAGTTTCCCACCAAAAATGACCTGCTAGCTCAAATGATCACGTGGTCTGTAATCTGTGAAGCGGAAAAAATCGGCATATTCCGCCGTGCTTCTCAACTCTGACCTTTTCATTATTGAAATATTGTTGGGCAATATTGGCCCGAGACATTTGAATATTCAATGACCTTTTATCGGCAATCATCGGAATCCGGCATAACGGTATCGATTCAAATATGATCGAGCATGGGAAATCTTAATTTATAAGTACACAGGGGTGGCAGGATAAAGCCATATACGAAAACACACCAACAGGAAAAACATTTGAAAGATAATATATGGCCTGTTAGAGTAGTGGTTAAGGTCCTTGTTTCGCATGCGGAAGGTCGTAAGCTGAAATCCCACAACGGGTGAAACTTTTATGGGGCCTTTGAATTAAATTATCCTATTTTTGTTTTACTTTTTAATTCATTTATTTTTTTAATTCATTAATAATCATTATTTTATATATTTTCCCATGTATTTCATTTACGAGAATGATATAGCTTATAATGTATGGTGGCTGATTTGGAACACTTTGAGCGTTGCGTTGTCGATAGCGACAACAATCGCCTTTTCGTCGCACTGACGTCTTGTCGCTTGGCTTATAAGTCAATCCTTTGATTTGAGCGACATCGCGACATCGCGACAACACGCCACACGACAACGCGACGTTTGGCGTGCTTCGCTAGCTACAAGACGTCGCACAAAAACGTTCCAAATCAGCCACCAAAGAAATCAACTTTATTTCTCAACGAGAACGATTTGGAGTGCGGGTAACTGATGCCTGCACTCCAGTTAACTTACTGTGCATGTATATGTATACGATTTAACTGTGACACTTTTTCAAACTGGCAGATGGCGCAAGTCTTGTGTAGAACATGGTCAAAGGAAATGCGCTTTATGTAATCAAAATGATATTGCCGATGAATTCCACTAGATGTTAAAATGCCCTTTCTTCTTAGTATCATGAGGAGGCCGCCTAACATCTTAACAGCCTATCGATGTCAGCTTTGCAACCTGAGGTTGGCAATCAAACATCAAAACACTCGGCAATCTGATTTATACTCGGGGCTACGCCCCCTCGTACAGTCAGATAGCCTCGTGTTTCGATGCTCTTTCTATTACTTAATGTATTTCATGTTTAATACAAACATGCCGAGGGAGGTCCTCTTCCTTTGGGTTTAGTTAGGGGTCCTGTGGGTCAAGGCCAAAGTCACAAATGCCAAAAATAGATTTTCACTTTTTACAGGTGCATTAACATTATTCTTTTGAGAGATGACTTTTATATTTGTAGGAACATAAAATTGAAGTCTTCTCCTTTGGATGGAGTAAGGGTTCAGTTGGGTCAAGGTCGCCAGTTCTAAAAATAGATTTCTACACTTTTACAGCCTTTATTTATTGACAAATGTATTTCATATTTGGAAGGTAGATAACTTGCATGGTATTCTTCCTTTTGATTGAGGTAGGGATCAATGGGGCATGGTCACAAAAGTTAAAATAAATTTTAATTTGCAGAGTGAAGTTCACAAAAAACAGTTTACGCTTTTATCAAATTTGCTTCTCGTATGCGTGTTTTTATTTCCATTTTAACGCCAGAAAGGCAGTGGTTATTCATATTATTGTTGCAATAAATTAAAAAGATGTTTTCTTTACACATTTGTCTTATGTTTTTGTTTTGAAAAATAAAGTTCTTAAAATTATCTTAAAATAGATACTCTATTGTGCGTATGTTTTGTATTTATGGTCATTTGAACTTCACTATGACGTACTCGACATGCGCATTCGGACATGATAAGAAAAAAAGTTCAAATCAAACTCGTGAATAAAAATACGAGCATAAAAGTGGTTACAGATATCTAACTAATATCTTCGTTACATATGTATTATTCATGTCTTGTGTTTTTCGAAAGATGTCAGATTTAATTTAATTCAAATATTTAAAATGAAGCTTACAGATTAAGATTTTCATTACAGCAAAACAATGATATAAAAAGCCTAAATTCTCTGGCCAATACGGCTAGCTGTCTTCAGCTAAATAGCAAGGCCAATATGAGCTTAACCCATTATTTGTATTCTTATTATATGGTATTTACTGAGAATCTTTCATAGGATAAAGCGACTTGGCGAGTAAAATATCACTTGCCACAATGTCAAAGCGTAAATAGTGTTTGACAAATCGTAAAATGTACTAAATCTTGTGAACTCATTCTAACTTTGACATCTGCTTACTGTGTGTGTATTTGCGTTTATTTATACTCGCCACCGGTTGCCCATATGGCGAGTCCTCCAGAAGTGTATTAGTCATTTTAGATTTTGGAGATAGTGCAATTACAGGTACAGAAAGATGCCCCAATTCCAGAAGCTTCCCCTGGTTCTTTAACGTGCCAAGTTGTTTAAGCACCCATACATGGGACCTCGATTAAAAGTGTTATCCGAAAGACTAATTAGTAATTTTAGTTGGCCAGTCCGGGAATCGAACCCACAAGGTCGAGATTACAAGTCTCGCGCTCTAACCGATTGAGCTATGCGGGCTGGCTGCTAACAAAAATTCCGGTGCATATTATATGTGTTAATCGTAAAATTCGGTCATATCTAACGCCCGACTGCGGCTCGAATACTAAATGATCAAGGAGTACTACATGATAATTTTTGTTTTCGATTTTCGTATTGACCGTGCATTTCATACTATGTTTTTCACGTATTTGCCGTTTCTGACAAAATAAAAAAATTTGCCTTCACGTTTGAAGTGAATATTTAATATGTATTTTGGGGGGAAAATATAAAAAGGGAGATAATTTAGCAAAAATACCTGTCAGGATCATCTGTCCTTTAGAAATGCATTAGTACTTATATATGAAATAAGTATTTAAGTTTAAAGTGAATATGTTTGAAATTAGCCGTATCAGAGCGAAAACATCTTAGAGAAATAAGGGGAATAACTTTGCAAACTATATCTAGGATTATCTGCCATTTGATATTGCATCATATGATCATAGTAAACAGATTAACCACATTTAAAGTAAATTCGGTAGTGTCTGAGAAAATAAATGAAATTACTTAAACCAAATTCTGAGAGCGACAATACCATTATACCTTTAATCTGTTGTCAATCAGGGTTACAAATGAAAATGGGAAACAAAAGAAAAATACTTATCTATTGAGAAATTAGTATCAATTATCCTTTCTAGCCTAAAAATTACATTATATAGCAGCTCAAAACGTCGATATTTAGGTTCATAAAAGAAAACAAGTAAAACAAAGATGACAATTACAATAAAATTAACTATGAGAATGTTAAAAAGTAATATAATAATACTTTAATCATGATTTTAACATGAATTTACATCTTGCGACATTTAACGGTAGTGTTGCGACATTTAACGGTAAGGGAAATTCGTGCGACATTTAACGTTAACATTGCGACATTTAACGGCAAATGATTTTGCGACATTTAGCAGCGGTTGCGACATTTAGCGGCAATGATGCGACATTTAGCGGCGGTTGCGACATTTAGCGGCGTTGCGACATTTATCGGCGCCACACTCAGCAAGTCAGAAAATGATGATGTTTCGTTCACATCCGTAGCACAATTATATCTTAGTTACAAAACACCGATTTCAGACGTTGCTGCTTATCATTCTGTTTCATTTTTTTTTATTATTTGCTAGAGGTAATTCCTGCTATGAAATAATGTTCAACATTCTTTTCGTAGGGTTCCATATCAGAATTGTGTTCATTACATAAGAATGGTTGATGTTTAAGAGGCTTAGATGAGAGGCTGGTGACTGGATCACACGCTTAATAAAAACTGAAAACGATGTCGACAATAATGATTTTAAGTTATGATTTAGCTTTAGTTGAGAGGCCAATACATATAGGTTCGAGTATCATGTATTTTCCTTTTGTAAAACGGGAAATATCGAGCTGGTATTCATTTGAGTTGCTTTAGTAGCTTAAAACAATGTGGTGTCATGACTAAAGTCAACACACTTCATTAGTCCTATTGTCATAGAAACAAACTGTTTGATGCTGCCTCCGGACTCCACCGTGTTCTTCGTTCGCTCTTTGAACAAACACAACTTAACATACAAATAAAAAAAAAAATGACATATAATTTTATTTTTTATTGTAAATCCATAATAATATATTACTTAGTCACATTATCCACAATAAAAAACGATAATATATATATAAACATCACTAAATATATCAACAATGTTATCATATGTAGCACATGTATATGATTCTGAAATGCTGCTAGGAAATAACGCCGACGAACGCTGTAATTCCCCTGACAATCGTGAGGAAGCCGGTATTTTACATTGATCAAACATAACAATTTATTGCAAAAAAAACACAAAACGTAAGTGAAGTATTTAATATCATAATAAAAGAGTGCAAAACAATATATAAAAATGTAGTAATAAAATACAGACCCATGTAGTAATAAAATACAGACCCATATGCATAAAAATCGTAATACAATGTAAATATACATGTATGACACACGCTTGTGATTTCTATGTTTGATATAGTTAGTAATAGTTACTTTAATATTACTTTAACAGTAAGGCTTTTGAAGAAAAAAGGAAGGGCGTTGGTTGTTGTTATAAGAATGATAATAGTTTTTGGCAATAAAAATGAACCAGTTAAACAGTAACAAAATAATCATGATAATCAACAGTATCATTAGAACATAATACCATTGAATTTATAATATATTTATGATGCAACTGTATAAATATTTGTTAATTGCATTGATTCTTATCATCTGGGCAACATTTTTGTTTATAGATACGACCAATACTGAATCAATATTAGTGCTAGGGGACGTGAGAGATGTTGCACGTTTTCATTATCCCTCATATACAGCCTCAATCAAACCGAGTATGCATGCAAATTTGTTGTGGTTATCAAATGCTTCCGAGGGATCACTTTTTCCCAAGATTTTCATACTTCTTAACAAAATACTGAAATATACATGTAGTACTTAGTGGCATGTATTCTCGTATTATCTACATTACTCCCTATATACCACTTCCTTTGACATTTGAGCCGTGTCACGACAAAACCAACATAGTGGGTTTGCGACCAGCATGGATCCAGACCAGCCTGCGCATCTGCGCAGTCTGATCAGGATCCATGCTGTTCGCTGTCAGTTTCTCCACTTGTAATAGAGTTGATAAGCGAACAGCATGGATCCTGATCAGACTGCGCGGATGCGCAGGCTGGTCTGGATCCATGCTAGTCGCAAACCCATTATGTTGGTCTTGTCATGACACGGCTCATTTTATTATTTTTCATCAAATAAATTTGAATTAAAAGAAATAATGATGTTTAAATTTTACTGAACTTCAACATAGGAATCATCTTAATTTAAAATTGCTTTAGTCTATTTTAACAACCATACGTTAAAAAACAAAACAATTTAAACGAAATTTTATTTTTCATTTAGATAATTATGCTGTAAACTCACTTTAAACTATATATAACATTAAAACTGAGGTCAGTAAAACAAATAAACAATAAACAACATAACGCACATGCACATTAACACTAGAAAATAAATTTGTGGATTAAAAATGATTAAAAAAAAATAGCTTGAGTATAAATTAAAGATTGTGTTGAAAATAGTATTAAAACAAAACGTTTAAGAAAAAAAAACGTAACGTTACATGTTAATAAATCCATTAAGTTAATAAACATAGATAATAAATGAGTGTAAAGGTAAGCCTGAAGAATTAGAACATGTTGTTTTCCTGATGCACTGTAACCATTACATTTGAAATAAAAATAACATATGAACACTTTTGAACATGACTTTGATCACCATTTTTGTCATCAAGTCAAAAGTTTAACATTCCTCCTCTGAATCACCCATTGTATGTATCTTTACTATAATTGTCTGATCGTTACCTGTTGATAACCCATCTTGTACATCTGAGTTCATGTTGATTAAGGGTGTATTTGTGTGTTTTGAGGTGTCAGGTGACAAATCCCGACCCTCGGGTGACGCATCTCGACCCTGATTATTGCTATCTTTGATATTTGTCATTCCTCCCATGCTTTCGCCAGGTGGTGGACTGTCTCTGCTTGAAAAAGAACTTGATAATGACCTACATTGCGAGTCTGAATCCGATAATTGTTCATTTTCCTCTGCGTTTTCTATAGTCCGATTAGAGGTGACAAACGTAGCTTTAGTTAGTTTCTTTAAACTCGAAGACATAGAGTCTTCATGGATATGCTTTTCTATCAAAGCATCGTCCTCTACAAGATGTTTTTCATCAGTCCATTCTTTGTCTGTATCGCCTTGAGGTATTTCAGTAAAAGAACCTGATCTAACTAGCCGTTTTCCTGACCATTCAAAGAAACTATCATCATTTTCATTCCGTATCTTATCATTACCTTTAAATGAGGTAGGTCGTTGTGGAGAAATATCTCTTGTTATATTTCTGTCATCACTTAAACTTGTATCATATGATCTTGTTTTATGAATATTTAAATGATTCACAGTTCTTAATTCACCAGTAACAAAATCGTCTCTTACTTCAAAAGCTATACCCCCTTTTTTGTTTGGCGATCCTTGTTTTTTGCGTTCTTCCTCAATAGCCGTTCTTTCCATGGCCTCAAGTTCAGTCACAGAAATATCATAAGCATAACTATTTTCTTTTTCCTTAGCATTTTTACTTGGAAAGGATTCTTTGAAAATTACAGACTCTTTATCAAGCGAAAGAAGTCCATCTAACTCTGTGAAACTTTTATCAGTGTCAGCTTCTTGATGTAGGTGATTTGGCAACTCGGTGTTATCATCATCCGCCTCTGATTTAGGTATGTCGTCACTGACATTTTTCGTAGTTGTTACAGAAGCATTTGCTAATGTATCAATCTTTTCATTTTGTGCAAATATGTTCGATCTTAAAGGAACACTCTTATCCTTTTGAATTTGCGTAGCTGTGAAATTTTCTTCTACGACCTGGCTGGAATCATCGTCTGGTATACTGGCATCTGTTTTATTTCTGTTTTGATTTTTGAATTCAGATGAATCTTCGACAGAATCATCATCCTTGATAGAGATATCTTCAACTGTTTCAGTTCTTTGATGAAACTCAATAGAATTACTGCCAATTGCAATATTCCGCGCTCTTGTCTCTGGGAGAATGAAATTTTCCTCGGCCTCGTTATCGTGTACTGTAATCAGAGGCGGCACTTCAGCGATGTTCGCCTTGGAGGGAGATAACTCTTCCATGTCAATTTCCGGGATTGGAGGTGGGGCTTCAGACGGCGGAAGTAATGATGAACTAAACACATTATCATCATCATTTAAATTTTGAACTGGCGATGATGGTGAGCTACCTTGAACCTCACTGTCGCTATGGAGAGGGGTGCTATTTGTGGAACTTCTCTTTTTCTTCCGCTCTGGTTTGAGTGGTACACTTCTAAGATCAATGCTAGCATCTGCAGATTTTTGTTGCTTTTCCACGTCAATAGCGGCATCAGGATCAGTGTAACTGAGTCGCAACATGTCAAGTTTATCTTGTTCTGTTAATGTTTCAAAAGGGTCTATAAACTGTTGTTTTGGTAATTCATCGTCGGAATTAAATGGTTTGTTTTCACTAGTAGAGTTGTCAAAACCTAAATTAGTTGTGATATTGTTCGCACCTACTGACGTATTTTCGTCAGGCACTCCTTTATTAGTGATTTCACTGTGTACAACAACACTGGTCTTTGGTGCTGTTACTTCAAAAACCTCATTGTCAAGTTGTATTGAACCGTTCCCTAATTCTTCAGTTATAATATTTTCGTTGAAACTTGCGTTCCTTTCCTTACTATAAGCCTGATTCTTCGGACAGTAACGCATTTCACTGGCTGCCCGTTTCGGATAAAATGGTGTCTCGTTAATGTGTGCGCCTAGGACCTCTACAGACTGACTTCTATATAAGGGATGATTTAAGTTTGTTCTGACGTCACTTAACTTCCGGTTTTTCGGCATTGTCTGCTGTTTTTGCAGCGTCACTCTGACCGGATATGGGGAAGCATAACTAAGAATTGTAAGGGCGTCCTCGTACACCATATTTTCAAAGGAAATCCCGACATTCATGATTCTGTCCCCTGAAAACACAAATAAATTCATTAATTCAACAGTTTTTTTTTCCATATCAATGAATGATTTCTTACAATTACCTCTTATCGTGCTAAATATCGTGAATGGACTTATCCATCTTGGGATAAAACCATTTATCATTTTAGGGGGAAATCAAAATAGTAACATAGGAACCGATTGAATGGCGAACAGTGCAGACCATGTGCCGGCTGATCTTGGTTTACACTGGTCGCACATGTAGAATCTGTTGCTACCAGTAGGCTAAGGGTGAAGTACAATTATAAAAAGGACCAGGTAATGAGTGTAAATTCCTGTCTTTTTAAATGACTCCGTAACGAAATATTCTTGAAAAAATCAAGAGGTTATAAAATAAATAAGAGCTGTCAATAGGACAGCAACGCTCGACTATTCTTAGTGCTTGATAGTATAAAAGCCTTGATAATGTAAAATGTTAAGTTAACAAAAGGGCAAAAATTTTCTGTAAATCCATGTTACAGTTATAGGCCTTGAAGTGAGTCCTATTACGCTCTCAAAGAAGAGTATAAATTTCCACTTGTTTCAAAGCCAGATGTCAATAGAATATGAAAATATCTGAGGTGGTATGCAAACTTAAATCAAATAAAGTTCTAAGTTGAAAAAGGGGCTTCATTCTGCCAAATGCTTCATAGAGTTACCTCCTCCTGTCTACAGGTTGGGGTCATGATGGTGAACAAGTGTGCAAAGTTTCAAAGCCATATGTAAATGGACTTTAAATATATTTGAGGTATTACAAAAACTTTAACGTAAATTCTAAGTCCAAAAAAGTGCATAATTTTGTCAAAATGCTTGATACAGTTACCTCCTCCTGTCTACAGGTTGGGGTTATGATGGTGAACAAGTGGACAAAGTTTCAAAGCCATATTTCAATGGACTTTGAAAATAATTGAGGTATTACAAAAACTTTAACGTCGAAAAAGGGGCATAATTTGATATGTACAGGTTGGGGTTATGATGGTGAACAAGTGTCCATATGTCAATGGACTTTGAAAATATGTGATGGTGGTGTAAAAAGATTAACATAAGTGGTTACGCCGACGCAAACGCTCGGGTGACTACAATAGTTTTACTTATTCTTATCGAATAGTCGAGCTAAAAAGTACATTTTTTCATAATCGTTCTTACCGACTTGAAATTTTCCGGACTCTTTAGCCGGACCACGGTTGTGAACCTGGCTTACAAAGATACCGTCCCTCATACTACCGGCTATATTGAACCCAAGACCAATAAAATCCTGGCTGGTCAACCATACCTCCTCTGTATTAGAGTCCTGTAAAAACGTATATAGGTTCTCAAATAAATTACCATTATATCGATATCAAATGAGTTTTTATCATATCAAATCAGTTATTATTATATCGATATCAAATTAGTTATTATATCGATATCAAATGAGTTATTATTACAGTGCATATCGATATCAAATGAGTTATATCGATTTTAAATGAGCTATTATCATATCGATATCAAATGATTATTATTACATCATTAACGAGTCAAGGAAGCAAAAAAGTGTATTGGAAATGACAACAAACGGAATATTTCTTGCCTGATGATATTATAAACACGCACGTCCATCAGTTAAAATTCGCCATTTTTAGATTCAATGCGTGTACAATAAAAATAGAATTAAATTGAAAAAGAAACTATATCACGGCGTAAATTGAAGTAATTTGTATATTTACACATGTGTTGGGATAGAAATTTCAACAAAGTTTTTCTTTCAAGGTGCCCAATGTTCACAAAAGAGAAGAGAGTGTCAAAAAAATCCCAACACAAAGTAGAGAATAAAACACACGTTTAGATTTTGTCTGTTATATTTAGCGCAATATTTTATTCATGGAATGGGATTTTCAAAAAAAAAATGTCATAGCTTTGTTGAAATATAGAAAGAAAGTACACTTCAACGATTCCATAAAGATACCTGTATATAAAGCTGCAACAAATATCTTAATGTATGTTGCATGTTTTGAGAGACCATAAGAAGAGCATGTATACATTGAAAACTGAATAAATAAAAATTCATTTAAACTTTCCTAAATACAATATTATAATGTTTCAAACAAGAACAAATGAACTCATTGCAACTTAAAAAAAACATGATATCTCTATCAATCAAATCACGGACTTAAACTGAATTAAAGTCCGTTTTAAAATTCAATTTTAAGTTCATTTAGAATATGACAGAGGCAAGTTAGGTCCGTGCCAGTAAAGATGAGTACAGGTCAGTAAGAATTGCCCCTCAATGTCGAGTCTAAAATACCTACATGTACTTCGCACCCAGTTCAAAGAGTTAGTATATCGATTTAACAATAGACGAAAGCTTTTTGTACATTTCACTTACAGCCATAAATTTATCCAGTGACCCTAATGAACTCTTTCTTTGTCGAACGTTTGGCATATCTGAGGGCGGAAGCGAGGACCATGTTTTCTTAGCAAGATCTCTGTCTTGTACATTTGTAAACTGAAAGAAATCAAATGATAAGTTAGAAAACATGCAGTCTTATTTAAAATGTACATAACAGTTTTCATATCAGAACGTGATTGCAGTTGGCAGTTTCAGAAATTTTCATTATTTTAGATATTCATTTCCATTTGTTTGGACTAACGTTGAAAATCCGGAAAGTAAAGTAACGTACATTTTTAACACGTAACTGAAAGGAAATGACTGGTTGCTAACACTGGTTTACCTCAAATATATTCTAACTTTGTATTTATCATTACCTAACATATAAATAAAATTACATATATGAGCAATCTGAAAAGCCATTAAACATCAATCAATTTCATTGATATTGCTTTCAATTTTATCATCTTTTCCGTATACATTTTAACAAGAGCATTACGTTTTCTATTACAATAACTTTCGACCTGTATAATTTGAATATTCTTCCCGTTTCATTCCTTGTGACCTTTCCTAACATTGACTAACGGTATGTCACCAAGGGAGGTAAATAGTACAATTTCAGTTCGTTGACAGCTATATTTGTATTTTCCCAAAAATGGTTCATATCAAAATGAAATATATAAAAATGCCATATATAAAGAATGCCATACATTATAAAACCTTTGGGTAAACTACTTTATATACTATATGTCATGTATAAATGAACAAATTTTAGTCTAAGCTTGAATAACTGAGCGGATATTCGAGAAACAAGACAAGCGGAGTAACCTCCCTTTGACAAACACGTATATAGATTCCATGCTATGTCCACAGGTAAACGTTGCGTGGCCATGACTTAGTCTATACCCCCATCCCCCTCTACAACCCAAAACCCTAAAAAAAAAATATGAAAAAATTTTTTTTTTTTATGACTAAAATATTATAAAGGTATTTTACTCTACTTTCATTTTGCATAGAAATATCACTAGCATCTCAATTATCAGCGCATATATTCATCAATTTTTCACCAATCTTAAAAATCTTGGTCTCAAATCTTAGATAAATAAATACTCTTTAAGAAAACAACACTGGCACCTTCGCTGATTATACGTAGGAAGAAATATCCAAGCCCAAACTGTCAACAAATGAAACTCGGAAGAGATCTGATTGCACCGTTTCGGTAAAACTCTCACGAGTAAAACACACTAAATTCACCGTGAAAGAATATTTCTTTGTATTGCGTATTTAGGTATATAGTAAAATGGGCCTGCAGATTGTTTTCAAATGGAGTATTTTCATTGGTCACATGAAAACCTCGGACCAATGAAAATACTTAAAGGGAAACAACTCTGCTGTGCCAATTTACTTTCATTTTGGATTGAGAATTTGACATATAGGAAAAAAGGTGCGTTATAGTTTCATATGATGCTTTGATTGAACAATTATTACAAATAATAACTTAATTTTATCATATTTAAATGCGCAATACAAAGAAATATTCTTTCACGGTGAATTTAGTGTGTTTTACTCGTGAGAGTTTTACCGAAACGGTGCAATCAGATCTCTTCCGAGTTTCATTTGTTGACAGTTTGGGCTTGGATATTTCTTGCTACGTATAATCAGCGAAGGTGCCAGTGTTGTTTTCTTAAAGAGTATTTATTTATCTAAGATTTGAGACCAAGATTGTTAAGATTGGTGAAAAATTGATGAAAATATGCGCTGATAATTGAGATGCTAGTGATATTTCTATGAAAAATGAAAGTAGAGTAAAATACCTTTATAATATTTTAGTCATAAAATTATTTTTTTTCATAATTTTTTTTAGGGTTTTGGGTTGTAGAGGGGGGATGGGGGTATAGTGTAAGTCATGGCCACGCAACGTTTACCTGTGGCTATGTCAACCCCGTATTTGACCGGGTGGAACAATATTGTAACACAAAGGAAATTCATTTACTCTATTTACTTTTGGCAGTAAGTAGAACTGTATAAGAAACGACTTTGGATCAAAATGAACACTATGTTTTTTTTTGTTGTCGTTGTTTTTTTTTACAATTGCAGAACTTAACTTACTGTGTTCTTTCCATCTTTATAATCCAGGGATGAGTCACCTGAAACATATGATTGTTTGGTTAATTCTTTTCACTTCAAAAGATTATACATGTACAACTTTTACATCAAATGGTGCATATATAGATTTGGAATGAATTAGACATGTGTTCATACATGTGTTAAAGATTTCCCTGTAATATTTTAGAGAACTGAAGAAAGATTTAGTTGATCGTTTTTTTCCTAATATTTCATACTATTGTCAACATATTTCATTCAAGGCACATCTTCTTTGATATAAGAAACCTATTAAATGTTATTACATGATTTAATGTTGAATTCAGCTAAAGCCGGTGCTAGGGGGCGTGGACGGTAACTTGCACTTTCAAGTACCGTCCATGAACAGACTCTCAATCAAACCGAGCCTGCAACTTTTTCAATTTTGTGGTGTTGGAATTTTATTTAGGGATTCCGTTTTTCTCTATTTTACAATATAATTGTTTTCAAATTAACGGTTCCTTTCTGTTTGCAGGGTTGATGTACTTTCCATCCATCTTTATTATGAAAAGTTATAAACTTTTTAAGATTCACCTTCTCTATTAATTTACAAATTTCGCTTTTATCATACATAAAACATAACCAAAATGCCAAAGATTCGGGTATAAAAATCTTAAAGTAGCTTTGATTTAGTAGTGAAATTTATGGACAAATATATTTCTTTTTGGATTGTAAATTGTTAAACACAAATTTGACATACTAATAGTCCTTACATCATTCTAGATCAGTGTCTCGTGTTTCTATATTATATAAACATAGTGTTATAGTATTACTTCATTCATTGGTGTTTATCCTTATTTCATAATATAATGTTCCACATTCATGTCAGTGACCTTCCTACCTTCCCAACATACTTTCATTCCTTTATACAAGCCAAACCTTTTTAAATCTCGCACTTTTCCATTTAAGATATACTCTTAATTTACCATCCCTCGACAAAAACGGTAGATCTATGTACATTATTCAACGGACCACATTCATGTTCTGTCTACATCATATCCAAGACAATTTTCAATAATTAACTTGCTAAAAACTTTGAGATAACCTCAAACATTAAATAGCTTACCGTCCCCATTCTCAACATCAAACGCTGGGTTGAAGTAACCAAACTTGCTGCCATTCTTTCTCTCGTTGTCGTCTGGGCTGTCAGACTTCAACTTCTCCGGCTTCAGAATGTCTGAAAATACACATGTAGATAAAGTATTTAACACAATTATAGAAGAGTAAACAAGTTGCATATCTTTTGTTTTATTTATGAATGATAATATTATTTTCTTCATTATGTTATATTAATAGTGAAACAACATGGTGCATATTTGTTTATAACCATTTGAGCCGCGTCACGACAAAACCAACATAGTGCGTTTGCGACCAGCATGGATCCAGACCAGCCTGCGCATCCGCGCAGTCAGATCAGGATCCATGCTGTTCGCTTACAAACCCTATAACAAGTAGTGAAACTGATAGCGAACAGCATGGATACTGATCAGACTGCGTGGATGCGCAGGCTGGTCTGGATCCATGCTGGTCGCAAACCCATTATGTTGGTTTTGTCGTGACACGGCTCAAATTTTGTCTGTTGATAGCGACCAGAATATCATTTGCAAACAGCTTTGTACAAGCCGAAAACCTCAATCTCGTGTTAGGTTCCAAGATGCTTTAATAGTAGTCGGCCGTCATATATATTTTCATTTCGAGAAACCTGGATAAGATTTTTTTTAATTAATAAGGAGACGACTTTTTTCCAGACGACAATTTTACAAGCTTGCAACGTCGTAACAGTAAAAGGTCTAACGGCGACTTCCACCTGAAGGTGTGTTGGTGGAAGATCCAGATGCCTGTTTATGCGGTTTTTTTTGTCTGTTTTGTTGTTGTTTTTTTTTGTCTGTTTTTTTTTATTTATTTACTCTGGTGGGCATCTATGCAGAATCACTAAATTTCCTAATACGATAAATTGATAACATAATCACACTGAAGATCTAAACGCCCGAAACAGAAACGAGATTTGTAGTCAGCTAACTGACCCATTTGGACACGGGGATATCCCACTATACTCTCAAATGTGTATAAAAGTAGTTTTTGAGCCAAATTTTCACACAAAAAATGCATGAACGAAAATAAATATTTCGGGAACACATTTGATAAAACAATTCTTGCCTAAACTAAAACTAACATAGCTGCATATGTTTTTATAGTCGTTTGTTTTATAAAGATGTAAGATACGTTTCGCTAATAACCACCACTCCTCCCGCTAAATACTTCATCAATAACAAAACAGAACAGGATAAAATATGTTCTGTTCTGTCAATACCAGAGACAGGTTTGTAAAAACATGCAAATCACTTTACTAAGTGTACTAATTATCCCAAAATGTGCTAACTTAAATTATTGAACTGAGTTTTTTTTCATTTGCACATGTATGCCGCTGACGGTTATTCGGTTTTAGCATTCAAAATGGAAACTATAAATGAAGGGACTGAATATTTCACGTTGAAGATTTTCATATTTGAACTTAAAGACCCTATTCTTACTTATCAAAACCATCTTGATTGTAATACGAAACTTTTTATCGATATAATAAATTTAAAACTGACATTTATGTGACTGAAAACAAACGGTTTCTTAACATTTGTCACTGGTGCGAACAAGACAAATTGTAAAAAGCGAGTTTTCGATCGATAACCACAAAATCAACAAATTAACACGCAACGCAGCATCCAAATCGAATATAATCGGCAAGTTTTCATTTCCAAAATTATGTATTTTACGGAGCCTCCGGAAACACCCGAACTTTACGGAGCCTACGGAAAACACATTGTCAGAGCACCAGATTCCATTGCTAAAAGAAGTTTTCGTGCTTATCAATCAGTCATTTTTTGTCATTCTAAAAAAATCTACTGTTAAATTTTCTTTGCAGACGACACAGAATCATTTATCAGCGTTCTGTCTTTTTTCAAAAATAAGTAGCCTAAGAAAATAAGTATATGTTACAAAATGAAGCCATGCCTGTATATCTATCTATTCATTTGAGCTAACTTCAATAACATCATCAGGATCAAATACTCAAATATTTTCATCATATTCTCTTTAATTAATTTTATTACGTAATAGCTTTGTTTTATCATGTATTATTATTATATTGATAAAGTATGATTCTTTGTTTATGGGGATATTGTGTCTGAATAAAATATTTGTCATGTTCTGTCTTTTAGTTGTATGTGTTGTGTGGTGCTGTGTTTTTGTTGTGTGTCCTGTTGTACTGTGTTTGTGTTGTTCTGTGTTTGTGTTCGTCGTGTGTTTGTTTTCTATTGTACTATGTTTGTGTTGTGTCCGTGTTTGTGTTGTGTCCGTGTTCAGTTGTACTGTGTTTGTGTTGTGTTGTGTGGTGTGGTGTGGTGTGGTGTGGTGTGGTGTGGTGTGGTGTTGTGTTGTGTTGTGTTGTGTTCTTAACTTCCTAGACTACATTGATGAAAATACGTCTTCACATTTTGCCGCGTGTGAGACAAATCTTTACCTAAAAATGTCTCAGAAAATATTTTATACAAATACATGTAATATCAAAATGTTATCGGATGGTGTATGTACATGTTTCAAAACATTTTTGTTATCTTATACATTTAAAGAGTATCGTTGAACTGATCAGTCAGTGTTATAATTTGTGATCAATCATGGTGACATGTTATTTATGAAAACTAAATAGATGACCTGGTCAGATACAGTAAAAATGATGGGAATTCAAAATTACCCATCAACTAGACAAACTATCCATCTAAAATCATCAAAAAGCTTCACCTTTGCGTAGTCTGTCCCATCAAAAATAAAAAATCAACTTTTATTTTCTTGGTATTTCATAACAAAAAGTAGGCTGAATGATTAAAATTATCCTCCAGATTTTCATGGATGTTTTGCAAAATTAAATTTTAATATATCTTGATTTTCTCTACAGAAGTCCCCTGTTGTTTACATAAGGTAGCCATCGCCAAAGGACTCTAAAGTCATTTATCAGAAAACTTCAATCGCATCATCTCGGCCCCCCTTTCCGTCAAACTTCGGATATTATTGATAATTTAAGCCGAAATGTTTCCGATTGAGAAAGTACGTCTTTAGGATTGTTTTATAATTTCTTTGCATATTTCTAAATTAGATATATTTTGCTCAGCTCTTGGCAAAAATATTTCACTAGATCTATTTATTGCCTTCATATCGTGTTAAAATCTTGAAAAAGAGATTATGATATCTATGAGTATATGCCGAGACGACATATGTGATTTCCAGCGATGATAAAGATTTGCCTTTAACACCAGCATAGAACCAGTCCAGCCAGCACATCCGGGCAATCTGAGCAATCACTACAATCGGAACGTCCTCGGCTATTATTCCTTATTCGAAGACTAACAGATTTAAAGGGCTGCAATCACTTAAGGCTAAATATGTTCATTTACATAATGTATTCATACAGATATTCCATATTTATTTTGTATCTGAGTACAATATTCCCGGATGATCAAATAAAAGCGTCTATGTAATGTTTTTCATGATAATAATAAAAGTGACAAGCGCCTGTAGGAAGACGAAACAAATATTTATGGGGCTGATGATACAGCATTTACTTACTATCGGAATGCTTACATGTACGTATATACCGGCTAACACCATATTTTCTAATTTCATAGTAGCTGAAAAAACGTATTTTCATTGAAATCTGTTAACATACAATATCTCATACATGCAGAACATTATTTTATTAATTTCATTTTAGTAGGAAAATATATATAGTGGTCTTCAACCTTAGATTGTCTAATTCGAGTATCTATTTCATAAATAGGTGATATACAATAACACTCTTAACGTTATTATAAGTTATCAAAATACAAAGGTGGTCGATGAGCCTTTTGTGACAATTTGTTTCCTTAAGGGATTATAAAAAGGATAATATGAAATATTTGTAAAATTGATAGCTTTTATAAAATTTAATTGTCACAAGTGTATTTAATCTCGGTTACAACAGAAAACATGTTTGGACAATGAGATTACACTATAACCTGAGGAGTTTAAACTATATACAAACATAAGGTGCATGTATGAAATAACTTTTATTAAATACTTAAGAAAAGGGGTATATATCGGGCTTAAAGTAGCCTATTCTATTTTTGATCAATAAATCGTACATTATCATTCACGCGACAAGACGTCAAGTGTACATGTTGCTTTTCGCCCTTTGTTGTTGTTGGTGGTGTTTTTGTTTGTTTGTTTTGTTTGTTTGTTTTTGTTTGTGTTTGTTTATTTTGGAAGTGGGGTTTTTAGTTCAGACGCCATCAGAAACCCATGTAGGCAACTCCACTATATAAGCGTTCAGTTTTTTGCTACATGTATTATTTGGCCGATTTTTAGTCATATTAGGTGGCATGGCCGGGTACCGAACTCGAAACCATAGCATCTTTTTTATCTGACAGTGCTACTTCTGAACTACCTTCCCAGATGACCCATAATACTTTACCGTAGTATGCCAACGCTGAGTACCACCTTAATACTAATAATGAGCTCCTTAATTAATCTTCTAAAAGGTTGATTAATCAAAAAGATGTCCAAACCAAGATTATACAAGATAATAAGATAAATTTAAGGCAATATGACCTATATTTAAAACAGCTGATTTGTCCACACTAGATGTGTGTACAGTTGGGTGATGGTTTAACCGCAATTTATTGTTTATATTGTTTGCTTGGTAGAAGATGGTAAAACTATACGCACATTTCAAATGCGGACAAAGCATTTTTTAAATGTCAGTTTGAAATATGGTTAAACTTCTTTAAACTTTAAAGTATTTACATGTATATTGTAAATTTAAAAGACGGCAGAACCATAATTTATTGTTTAAACATATTTTTATTTTCAAGAAAAAATGTTAATTTATTATTTACATGGTTTGTTTGAAATATTGCCATACCAAATGTTAAAATTTTTCGTTTGTAGTCAAATCAATACGAATATACATGTATATAACGATAGGTGGCATAATAAGATAGGGTATAGAGTCACTAATTTATATAATATAAAGAGCGAAGAGAATTTCAGTAGATCTTAATCTAAAGACTCTATCCACTTTACGTATGCACATTCCTTTGCACGTGCAACAAAAATTAGGTCAATCATTAAAATCACTTTTAATACAAAAGAATTATATTTTGCTAGAGGTAATGTTACATTAAACCATGTGTTTGTTTGTTTATTTGTCCGTCTGTTCACTTATCAAATTTGCATACATATGTATATATTGGCCATAATTATATGAAAGAAAGAAAGAAAGAAAGAAAGAAAGAAAGAAAGAAAGAAAGAAAGAAAGAAAGAAAGAACAGAATACGAAAATAAGACACTTGTATAATCACAAAAAAGTTTAAAAAGAAATATTTTTAGACCCTAAAGATATACATAAAGCATTTGCTAATTCTAGATGCGGACTTCGTATGCCTTTAATATAGAACCATGCCAGCCTGCACTAGCACTTCCCTGCTTTCTAGCCAGGTTCGATATACAGTTGACCCCCTCATATTAATAATGGAAAATTCCAAACTTAGAAGATAGGATAAGTCCATTTTTCAATTTAAGCGGGATTAGGGTTAACAAAGAATTAGATTGACGATTAAATGACTTTTTATTCATATTGTGCCATTGAATGGGCATAAGAGTTAGATATGTTTACATTGTATGTATGTAAAAATAAATCTATATTTGTTTATATTGTGAATGGGGGAAATGGTTAACACCCTTGACGATGATGAACTGTGACAAGCCACTTTTATATCTATCTTTTCACAGGTAATACACGAATACAGACGACATATACTGACATACCGGATTTATGCCGCAGGTGAAAAACTTTACTTGAACTTATTTGTCATCCATTTCGTTGACATTATTCACCGCTTTATAGAAAAATAAGTTAGAATACACAATTTTCCCATATAATGAGTATTTACGGTGAGGTACGGCGAAGTACTGGACTTAGCAGTGAACGTTTTTTTTGACACATGTTTGTCAGTTTTATGATGAATTACCATATGTCCAATGACTTAATAAGCTCGTAAGACAGTGCGTCTGAGACAACTGACAAAAAACATCACCATACCGTAAATACAGCATCTCACCGAAACCGCCTACACCGATCTTAAAATAGTACGTCTAATGTTTTTATTGATATTTTTAGAAAATCTTACATTTTAAATAAGCCTTACCATACTAATTATCTTAAATTGACTTGCCCATCATTCAATCATTTATCATTCTAAAGAAAAAAAATAAGAAAAGTACTGAATGCATAGTGAACGGTGCCGACACGGATGTGCCGACTGATCTTGGTCTGCACTAGTGGCAAGCACACTAAAGAATCGTGTTTAAATGAATTTCATTTGTTTAGTAAGTAGATTAAAACAACAACAAGAAACATGTGATAACTTTAAAAGTTGTACATTCTGAAATGAGTTGAGCGTTTATTTCCTGTACTTGTGCTTTTTCCAGTTCAAAATATTTTTGCATTCATGCACAAGTTTTAGAAATAACAGTTATAAAGATTTTTGTTTTATATTCTGCATGGCTGGCGAATTGTGCGCGTTAAAGATTGTGGACACCTTTAACAATCAAGCCTGAATGACCGTTGTACAACGGTGTAGCAGTAGATCGAACTCACGACCACTAGATAAATCGTCCATTAACTGAGTGCTGAACCATTCACCATTCATAAGTAAAGAATGTTTGACGTAGGACTTGTTGAGGTTATAAACCTCCAATAACATTTCAGTTAGACAAGGCGTCCCATTAATATTAATGCAAGGTGTTATTTGCTTGCATTTAGAATTCTATTTCTCGCCTACCGTAATTTGTATAACGGTTACCCATGCCACCCCGCCAACCTGTCCTCTCGCCTTTTAGTAAGTAAGTCAGTCACAAAAATGTTGATCTTTCGTTTACTTAAAGCTAGAAATATTTGTTTATGGAACTTGGTACAAGAAATATGAAGGTATGCGAGCCACTTTACTTCATTAATATTAAAAATACGATAACAAAATTTGTAAAAAGTAAATCCTATGTTGATGTTGAAGAAGGTTGTTTATTTATCCTGTTAAGTTTAAAATAAAGCTGACACGATTTCAAAGGTCAAACGGTGACTTACATGCTCTAATAATGTCAAAACAATGACATAAAACTACATTTTATTCCAGTAATAAATGAATGAATTAAATTTTTTACATTCTTAATTAATAAAACTTTTGAAAATGTCTTAATTAAGCTGTACATGGTATCTATTTATAGTAAATAACAACTGTGAACCCTGTACAAAATGACCACCTCTTAATAAGGTCCTGACAGAAAACTTGTCACAAACGGACAGCGTATTAGTGACCAGTTTGTCAATGATTGTTCAAATACACTTTTTTTAGAGACCGCCTGTCAATACAGACCCGGTTTTTGTATTTTCTGATCGCAAGATCAGTAAATAAATAGCTAACATCCACGGTCTAACACAAATTTTTCTAACAGACCTAACAACGCAAAGTAGTTCTCGCTCAGAACTGCTTAAAAACCAGTAATTTAAAATAAAGAATAATTTTTAATGTATGCATTTAACGAAATACAGTGCATTAAAAGTTTAGAGTAGTCAATAGAAATATGAGGTTACAATCACAAATTTCGCGGATGAATATCTTTTTTACCCATTGAAAAATGTTCGGCTATTTCCGTAAAGCTTAATCAATGAAAATGCTATTTTTATCTATGTCGATTACCGAATACTCCAGAGCGTAGTACACATAAATCTGACTGTCGAATAGTGGAATATATACATGTCGTACTGTTTTGGCGAGAAGATTTTCGCTAAATTATTTTCATCAGTGTTAAACAACAGGTTTATAGTGAAGAAAATACCTCGAAATTAGTAGGAATGGAAATTCTCAATTTAGAATTACAATGTATTTGTTATTATTCAAGCTACTTATGTATTACTTCGCCGTGGTGCAGAGGTAGCGCGCTCGTTTAGGGTGTGAGAGGCCCAAGGTTCAAATCCTAGTCGAGGCAACTTTTTTTTTTTGAAGTGTCTTTTGTAAGGAAGTAGCCACGATATGCAAGGATAAAGTATGGCTGTCATAAAAAATGAAAATGATTTTTTGATGCAACTCTAGTCATGCAAAATTCCATATGTATCAATCTCAAACTGTTATAGACGCAGTCGCTGCGTAAGATTAATTATAGTATATAAAAATAAACTTATATAGGAAAATACATACAGATAGTCAGTATGATTTAGATTGCAAAGATCAGAAAATACCACAGAGGTTGCAGCCCTTTGATTATTTTATTAACATTAAACTTTTTATGCAGGTTTGACGAAACCTAAAAATACACACGGCATAATGTAATGAAAATATTATGAATGAATATAAAATGAACGGTTGTCAACATTAAGAATTCATTTAACGCATTATTTTTGTTACTTTGTTAAGTAATGCAGTTTCTATGGTAACAAATGGCTAAATGACAGAACAGCGGTGAGAAATTGATGAATGTAGGTCCTTTCTATTATTTGTTACACCTATAATAAAAATTTATGAGCAATTTTTATCACATTGTCCAGAGTCGCGATAAAAAAACACAGCCTGTACCACCTTTAGTATGGTACTTTTGACATTTTGACATACCGTCTCCTCATCCAAAGGTCATCGGGTATATTTAAACCAGACTCCTTAGCTTTTAGACATTTCGTTGACGTGCCTATTTAATGTATTTACGGCGACGGTCCAGCATAACTTGGTGTTAAAAGAAAGACCCTAGGTACTCTTTATGCGATAATTATTTCAGGTACGAGCTTCAGCATGGTTAAAACATTACATTTTCTTAAGCTACTTGGATAGAATCAATGAACTTATCCGGTTAAGTTGAGTTAAATACCGGGTCCAATGAACCACATACACGCAGGAATGCACTTTTTGCGGTGTTACAATGCACCTTCTTTTCTTAAAAAAAGTTTTTTTAGGGTTTACATTCATGGCCTACATATTTTCTAATAAAGAGAGCAATTTATTAAATTTGATCCTATATTTGATCAAGAATAAAGAGAAATAACTTCCTCATTCAAAATTCTTTAAAACGAAAAATTGAGCCGTAACCAGCATTCATTCAAACGTGGGTTTCATATATCTATACAAATATATGTCGCGTTCTGCTGCACGAGACATTGGATCGCACGAAACAAACATTGGGCCGCACAAAACTAGTCAATGGCTCGCGCTAAACTAATATTAGATAGTGCTTAACTTAACTTAACTAATAGTTCTCTCTTACAAGTAGTATATTATATATATGAAAGTTATGTTTAAAATGGGTCATTTATAAAGAATACGGACTACTCTATATCACTGGACAATATATGAAGTGAAACTGGTAAAGGAAACTCGTGCGGTGGTGTGTGAAAGCTAAATTGGGCCAACAGTGACCAATATATTCCGGACCAATAATGTCGGGTCATGAATAAATATTTGACTAATATTAAAACCATGGTATACATGTATAAAACAAACACCATTTCTTCCCTTTAACATGCATAAAGACACGTAATGGATTTAAATTAAATGATCACATTACAATGTATAGAAAATTGCCCAAAGATTTGTCCTGCAGCTGTGCAGCACATTTGACAATAAAGTACTATAATTATTTTAAATTCAAAGATACGTTATCTAATTGGCTTCAGGGTGATGGAAATAAAATAATTTAACAGTTAAGAGATAACGAAGATGACGCACCTTTCCGCCTCTTCCAGATCCAGAATCCGATGATGGCGAGCACGATGAAGACGACCGCGAGGGTCGCAAACACGCTTGCAACTACTATTACCCCAGCGTCCGTGCATTCTGCACTAACTAGCGGTACATGGACCGCGACGATAGCTAACAACAGCGTACAAACGTTCATATTTTTATCCCTCTATTATTTTTCAACACTACACTATCATTTCAAGAATTAGACTTGCAGCTGTAACTGATATCCTATCAACAAATGTGATATATGAATTGTACAGTACGTCACTTAAGAAAATTATTTAAAGTATTCCGAAAATAATGTTTTCCAAATATTAATTTGACATTAAACATTTTGCTGTTGCCTTAAGTCCGTAACTTTATTATTACAAACGATGACATACTTTTGTCCCAGTCGTTTATGTGTTCATACGATATATAAGTAAATTAGCTGTCGTACGAAGGGTATAAATTTCCCCCTCTATACCTGTAAAATCACTCGCGCGTGACTATACTATTACCATTGGTATGCCGCGCCTCGTTGCATCTTAAATATACACCGTCATTATAATTTTGTCACTTCAAACGTCTATTTAAATACCATTTTAACATAAACAAATAAACATCCCTATGGCCATTAAACTAGTATACGATAAAATTTCTCAATAAAAAACTAATAATTTCACGTCTATGTTAACCTTCCGGTGAAAAGAAATGGCCATATAAAAGCTTAAATTAAGCGCGTCCAAACTTGCGCCATTAATTCGGATCAAAATACCAAAAATTCCACAAGTCCATTTAATACTATTGATCATGTCGCTCTATAATTTCACTTGTCGGGACAGTCCAGTTATCATAGCCTCCCTTTGGTGAATTAAATTTTCTCCGCGCAATTCTTCCACACAATTTTTAAGGGTACTGCAAAGAGAAATCTGCTACGACTCCTTTTTACGTGCAGTTGGCATGGAAACGTTTTGGCAGTTTTCTTCTGTCATTAGCAAGTTTGATATTTCTTGCGAACAATGCCGTGCTCGAACGAACCTTTTAGATTCCTAAGTAACTGTGTTATAGATAAAAACAATAAATATACCTTCAGTTGATAACTTCTATAAAAGGTCACCTATAATGAAAAAAAATGATATAACTACAGAATGTAAATATTCACATGAGTTCGAATTGATGAGGAGGGGGGGGGGCGACAGATGATAAGGGCGAAGATGAGGAGGAGGTAGGGGGAGGATTTTTAAGAATTGATGAGGATGGGGGATGGGGACGATAAATGAATGATAAGGAGGAGGGGCAACGAATGTGAAAGATAATGAGGAGGAGGAGGAGATGAGCCATTATTCGAGACGTCACCACAATCACTTTGTATAGTGGTATAGATCTAGCTTACAAGTAAATTCAGTCTTTAAAGCGTCTGGTAACTTGATTTACCAGAGATACAACATAATTCTGTTGTGAAAAGTCAACGAAGACTTCAGAATGCCCTTATGTGAAACATGATGACCTGTTTGTTAGCACTGTATATGCACTGTATACCCACCTGATAGGTACCATGTCCCATTTAAAATCAATTACCAATATAAGAATAAATGAAAAGAACTATCGCCAAGAATAAGGATTATAATTATATAATATACTAGTAAGCAAAAAATAAATACTGGATTGTAATTATTACACACTATCGTACATATTTGAATAAGTCGTTGTTTTTTAACATTAATGACAATACTGTATACTTGCTCTGATTCTTTAGTAACGTTTGCGATTAAAAAACAAAAACACAACTGATTACTTGGGTGCATTTTCATTAAATATACATGTATTGTTATTAATCGAAACTCTAATTATTGTGCATTTATATAAATGTTGTTTTTGTAATACATTTTGTATTCACAAACAATAATAATAATAATAGGTCCCAATGACGGATAAAATACCGAGGAGTAAACATCTACAGTGCTTGCAAATTCGACATGAAATGTCAATAAGAAACCATCACTGTTTAACACAATTTAAACGGTATTAATTAAGATGCAAATTACGCATTCGTATATTTACCCCCCTGTGCTGCAAGAGAAAAACAGCTGAATATTATCCATAAATATACTGCATCACTGTTTATAGGTTAAGTCATTTAAAATACTTGATATAAAGTCCATTTATTATGGAAGTAACTAAAATATTAATCTCTTAATTGATATTTGAAATACTTTTCATATTTAGGTAAACAAACAAAGGTTTCTCCCCTTTCAAGAATTTTTGCAATAACGGTAGAATGTTGCCACATTTTTTTCAGTATTGCTATGTCTCTTTATGATTCTTTGGGATCATTAATTCCAATAATTTTTTGTGTTAAAAATTGAATAGCGCTTAAGCCGGTGCTGGGGTGGGGGTGCGTGAAAGATTTTGCAATTTCCATATCTCTTATGAATGAATGAATGAATGAATGAATGAATGATGAATGAATGAATGAATGAATGAATGAATTTATTCATATTTATTTGTTTGTTAAAAAGAATTCTGGAAAAACACTATCGGGAGTAACTAATCAATAAAACTACCTTTGAGAGTGGCTAAAAATACTTCATTACATTTTTAATTAAAGGACATCACATGTATGTTGTTAACTTGAGTTCACATATACATACACACGTTCATACATAAAATACTCATTTATAGATAAGAAACTAGGAATAAGCATGTATTATATGGACATTTATTTAAAGAAACTACATACATGTATTAGTCTTATTAGTTAATACCACAGGCACGAGTATCGGACCTGGGAAAAAAAATATGACCAGATTGATAAGAAAAACCTGTGTTCATCTTAAAAGTGTCAAAAAAACAAAAAAAATGTAAATAATGACACCCTTTAAAAATATACTATAAGTTAAGAGAAGGCCGGAAACTCCAGATTCGAGCCTACGAGCAAGGGATTCATTTCCCGGGCCGTTGTGAAAACAATTGGCCAGACAATTAAAAAAAACTTTTATCACTATTTCACGTTTATATTAAGCTTCAAAATGAGACCAACCCCAAGTCTCTAGCCCATCCCGTTCATGAAATATCTATCAGGAAACGAGCGAATTCGTGCTAAAAATCCTTGGTAGACAGAATTGCGGCCTGTGGTTAATACTTTCGCAGTGTAATTACGTGAGTAAAACAACTCCTCTATAGATATATGAAACTACTGAATTACGATGCAACGCTTATTCCTGGATATAAATGAAATTAACCTGTTAAACTCAGAAATGCTTTTATTTTTATTTATCAGAAGCTTTGCAGTTTTGGTGTACTTTAATTATTTTCAAAAAGTTACTTATATGCCAATGACAATAACATTCTTTTTCTTCTCATGCTTTTTGGCAATTCGTACAGTTACTTACATGTATTTAGTATTTTGTATGGGAGTAAGAAAACTACTTTGTTTACTTTTTGCTACTTTTATGACATTCACATTATTATTTCACATTTAGCACTTATTTCATCACATAAATCTAACATGCTTTAAAACATTTTAAACATGATAAAATTCTTGTAAGCCATTTCTAAAGAAGTAAACATTATTCATTTCCGAGGCATAATGTGCCTTCGTCTTTGTAACATAGCATTTTATTTTTTTTTATTTTTATGAAAGCATTTTAATTTCTGGATATTCGTCCTGCTCTTCACCCGCGTACTCTCCATTAAAAAAATTCAGCAAGAAAACCGTTAAAGTGGAATTGGTCTACAGTGATCACATTTTCCATTAAAATTTCAAAATCTTGATATAAACAATATAAATGTTTTGTATGTTTAAATGTTTATTTTATAGAAATATTGCTTAGAAAAATGTTGATAAAGTTTTAGGTGATTTTAGTATTCATGAACATTTATATGGTGAAAGTTCTAGGACATTTTATTACTTGCAAATATAATATATGTTATATCGGATCATGTTCCTCACAATGACAGCAGCATTCCTGTATAATTCTTTCTTGGTATACTATCAACGTTATTATTTATTGTTACAGACCTTCCATTATAGACCAATTCGCTTTAACTTATTTTAAAATAAAATGACTTTTGATGTGGACATTACAGGCCCAATAAAGAATAAGAAAGTAGGTAATTATCTTGCCATCTGCAAAATGTTACTTCATATCGCATAAAATATATGCAATATTGTAACATCCGGTCGTGGGACATTTATTTATCACCAAATAAAAACATAAATTAATAAATCACATCAAAAACAGTATATCTGGTATCTGAAAAATATACATGTATGTATCTACAATGTAAATGATAAGACAACCACTACATACATTAGATAAAACTCTTCTTCATTGCGTCCCTTCCCTGTATACGGTGTCGCTCTACCAGAAGATAAAATACTACGTCACAAAGAATTAAAAGCTTTCGAAAAGGGCAATCTAGACAGATAAAAGTGGTAGGAATATATTATATATAAATTTATTACAAATGTTCTATCATTTTCATGTACCTGCTTGCCCAAAAATTCCTAGACCCCTTTTATCAGTCGGCTGTTATCAGCTGAAAGGTAATTTCCCAACGAACGTACAATTATTCAGAGTAGAAAGGGTAATTTTTACAGGCTCATTTCAGTACCTTGTCCCGGAAATGTATGACGTGCAAAACTAATATTTTCAAGTCTTCTTATGGAAGTGGTTGGGGCATCCGATGCTGAGTGGTTAAGTCCGCTGACATACCAATCATTTGCAACTCTTTTACTGTTAGTCCAAGATTAAATTTTGTCAAGGATTTTGGTTGCTTTTCATGCTAACGGAAGGCCGATTGTTCAACTCAATCCTTTTTTTTATTTATCAGTTAAGTTGGGATTGCTAAATTCTAAATTGACGTGTTTGGGTTAGACAATACTTTATTTTTGTTCAAACATACATGTATACTCATACGATGCTAATATTATCATAGACATAAAATTATTGGTAATTTAAAGACGGACTTTCAATATCCCATTGGTTTTAACTACATTTTGTACTATATCTAACAAATTCAACATTAATCCTGATAATATATGGAGCCATGTTTGCTCCTTTTTGAAACGGGCAGACATGCTCAGGGCTATTCAGGGCTCGAACCTGCCATTTCTTAACTTCATAAATAAATTAGATAACCACCATGTCATCACAGCCTTCTTTGCAAGTATACAGTGTTTTGTTTTTTCTCTCTCGTGTCATTTCATCTTTGTTTTTATCGTTTGTCTCGAGAGAGATCGTGTTACAATTTTATCGATCAATTATCTTATCTGCTGTTAAGGTATGAGCAGGTGCGATACTGAACGTGTTGTCATGTAATCCCACCCGTCACAATATACCACTGATAGCATACCGTAGTCAATTGTAAACCGAAAATAAATTTACTTTAATCAAGTGATCGATTTGTTTTGAAACCTATACACGGGTAGCATGAGGTTTACAAAAATTTCATTCTGTAATAATAATTGATGTGTTCCTGTATGGTATAAACATTTAACTGTAATGAAATTTGAATTAAATAGTCTTCAAATTTCTATAATTACATTAAGTTTATATAGATTTTTAACTGATCAATATGAACGGCTTGGTTGTTATTCAAGTGACCCGGGACTTCTATGACGCCATTACCGTGTAAATATATCTCCGTGAACAATATATCCAATATACCTTGCTAAAAACCGCCCAGATATAAATTGTGTCTAAATGGTAAAGCACCGGGTTTTATTGAAACATGATATGTGTTCGGATGGGTTTATATAAGAAATTTAATTTTATTATTGGCAATTAGACCAAATGACCTCTTTTGCTACTTGTATGAACGGAATCTTTAACTGTCTTAACTAGGTGCCGTGTAAAACTACTGTTCAACAAAAGATGATATTGCAAGGTCTTTAAGAGATGGCTTTTTCATTGCCTTTGAGAGATTTGTCCCCTTTCCCACGGAAGCAGGTCTAAATCGCTGTGTGGTTGTTGTAACATGTTGCCATCTTCATCACTTTAGTGTTGTTACATATTTCCGGTCATTCGGGATAATGAATTTCAGCATATTTAGTGTTGAAGACTGAGTACTACTTCAACCGGTGCTAGGGGGCGGGGATACAATGCACTTCCAATCATCTCTCATGAACAGCCTCAATCAAACCAATAGTCTGCAATTTTCACTTTGCACTCGAAGCATCTCCCCTTTACCAGATAATTTTACTGAACAAAAGGAATAATAGACCTGTCCAAATGATTGTGGAGGGCGGTGGACTAGAGGTCGTCAAAAATTAGCTTGATGATTCTTTGAAATTTGAAAATTTTCATAAGTTGGTCTGGTGGTTAATGAGTCTGCCTCTCAATCCAGGGATCATGGATACAAGCTCTTCTAAGTTAAAGTATGTTTCTTGATATGAACCAGTGCACAGGAAGCGGACACGAATTTTATAAATATAAAATGTAAGAACATGTTCTGTAATGGAAATTTATTATAGAAATGAAATATGTTTAAACGAAACAAATTAATATCAGCGAGATACTGATAACTTACCTATCTTTTTATACAATGTAATTTGTATCATCACAAATGAAATATGTGAGGAAAGATCAATAAGAGAGTGTGACATTTACTATATGCAGCCTCCAACAGTACGAGTTCAACCATACATATTATTATGACCATCGGTAAGGCATTCAGCAGGGTGCAGCAAAACAAAATTTAACAATCGTGAATTCCGCTATTACCATTTACTTTCTTCATACAAAATGTAAACTTTGACAATAAACCTGAAGAATATGTACAATGCGTTGAATTTGAAACGGTCCATTTGAATTTTAAAGGATTTCAATAACAAAATACAAACAGCTACCAACAGTAAAGAGCCTGGTCAGACTGCACGGATGTTCACATTAGGTTATACAAATATAAAATTATCACCAAAATGAAGTGAAAAATAGAAATACCCCCCTTGCTTCAAATATGAATAAAATTCTTATTTTTATCACTCCCTTATACACATTATCAACCGTTTATTTCTACTGTAAATGTGTTACTACTAACAATTATGAATTGAGCATAATAGAAATTTAATTTTTTAATTTATATATACAGTATATTGTTATTTATTAAATTGACTCTTTGATAATGAAGATATTCTATATATCGTGACATTGCACAATGTAGAATTGAAAAATGATCCTGACAAACAAATTTGGCGGGAAATCATAGTACAATCAATATCTACCGATTAATGGATTCGATGCTAGCCGGTGCTAGAGGGCGTGAGGAATGTTGCACTTTTTCATGAGTGAGACTAAAAAAAGGATTGGAGCACCACACTAAATACCGTATTCCGGTATATACCGGGCAAGGCGCTTGAATCGTGAAATGCCAAAATCTTGCATTTTTACGCAACGGAATGAACGTAAATAGGTCTAATTCATCTTTTCACACTGATTTATGTATGACAATGCATGAAAAATGTAAAAATCAGCGAAAAAAAACGATATTTGTCTATTTTTTGATCATGATTTCTGCAAGCGTCTAGAGGTACTGCTCCAATCCTGTATTGAGCTAAATCCCTTTTTCATTATCCCTCATGTACAGACTCAATCAAACCGAGTCTGCAATTTTAATGTAATGTTCCTGATTTTAATGCTTCCGAGGGATCACTTTTTTCCAAATACATATCAATGCATTAACCTAGCTCACTGATTCATTTGTGCCCAGTGGCTTTCTGTCTAGTCCTTCGAACGATAGTATTTTAGTTTAACTTACTTAAATGGTGAAGAATAGTGTGTTATATTTAAATAACTGTAAGTGAACTTAAAATCTTAATATGACCAAAGAATGATATTATTTTTCTATCTCAAAAGCTTTTGTATTTTTGGAGTTTCTTATGATATTTCTGACAACGAACTCATTGGCTCATGATTACTGCTAAACCATTTTTGGCCTTTTGAAAAGTTCTTTGGAAGACAAAGAGCAATTTTGTTTACGTTTTGCTACTTTTACGACAAATTATTTGAAGTTCAACGCTATACTTCCTTCACATTAAAATAGAGAAAATAAGAATCCCGTAAGAAAGCTTAACACGGCAAAATGAAAATGTTGCAGACTCGGTTTAATTGCGCCTGTTCATGGACGGTACTGTCAAATGCAAACTACCGTCCACGCCCCCTAGCACCGGCTTAAGCAGAACATGAAATAATAAAATTTTTAAATTGAGAAACAACTGCAGATGTGTTCATACGCGGTTATCAGTAACCTTCAATGTGACACTTTAGTGCCATTCCATACAAAGCGGCGTATGGTTCCCGCGTAATAAAAAGCGTATGTCCTAAACGAGAAAACAAGGGGCAGAACTAAACAAAATGGAACTTTGAAAGAGGATCAGAGATTATGAAGCCTGCATATCACAAATATCACAAAGTTAATAAGCAGGCAACATATCCTAAGGGTGATGCAACATTATTCAAGTAGGAATTATTGGAACCACCCAACATGAAAATGCCAAATAGTTAAAACCGAAAAAAAAAATAAACACAACAATAATGTCGTGCTGAACGATCTTTAAGGATCTCTGATTTTTGATTTAATCATATTTTATTGCTTGAAACATGTACATGTAACATAAAGATTACATTAATACAAAACAGAATACAATAAATACGAATAAGGAAACATGTATGTTAACAGTTTGAAGCAAATGGGTTGGGCCACAAGTTTTACCAACATTAATGAAGGCCCTTCCCAGGCAAGTTTAAATAACAAAATGTTCATTATAAAGATACAAAACTTGTTTACGTAATTAATGTGTTAGGCGAAGAAACAAGAAAATATATGTTTTTGCGCATCATCAGAGCAATATTTACAGTTTGCTTCTATATATATCTATATTGATGTTAAAGTATTTAGATGACAATAATATGAGGAAAAAAACAACAACAACAAAAATTGATATGAGGTTCTCTGATTGAAACATCTCTAAACCCACTTTTAAAACATTATTAAACAAAGACATTTCTGATGCTTAACCTCAAATTTGACGAAAATTAGTTATGGATGTCAACCACGAATATGTTTTTTAAACATAGTGCTTAGTTAAAAATGCTATTTTCTACCGATTTATAATATTACGCAATATTTTGTAGCATACCCATGTATGGGAAGAATGCCAATAAACCGACTGGGCGCGAATGTCTAATGTGTACAGGTATATACAACTTCCAATTTTACAGGTAAGTAGATTATTGAACAATATACCGATATCGGACAAAATTGATCAGTGAACAGGACTTGATGGCCGCCATGAAATTATAGAATTATAAGCTGGCTGGGCAGTGATTTTATATAGCTATATATTTTTATTTATTCGACAATGGACTGTATAGTTCCACCACAAAATACTCTTTGGACAGGGGCTTTGTCACATGGCCTACCTAGATACCACCAGAGGAATTTTTTCCCGAATTTCTACTTCCAACAGAAGAGGTCCTTCAACTCTCATTTTTTCCCAGGTATGTAACTTCCTGTGGAAACACAGTTTATTGATTCTGATATATATTTCTATCAAATATAAGTAAAAATCTTACAACGTTATTTTTGTTAAAATTTACAAATCACTAGACAACATTGGGTAGTTATGGCCTTACGGGGTTAAAGTTATATACATTGGTTTATCGGACACTCCCGTTTATTAACAATGCCAGGTATGACTAACGGGTGGCATTTAATAAATGTTTATTCGTTTAATTAAGGTAGTTCATTATATTTTTCTACTGACTGTAAAATATCTCGAACATAAATACTAAATATATGTAAAGAAAGTCAATTTCTATATAAATTCTATCCCGGGTGATCCGCGCATTTTTACAGGGGTTTCGGGAAAGGGAACGGGAGCACCGAGATTTTAGCGGGGCAATGAATTGAAGCGGGAAAAATTGGTTGCAGGAAAATAATGCATGTTGATGAACTTTAGTAAATATGGAAACCACAATAATTTAGTATAGTTTATAGGATAAGAAATGCAAAGAACTTTTACGGCCTTTTTTACCAAGTTGATAGAATCAGGGATACTGTCTAAATTCCCCTGGCAGCATGGTTTTGAATTTATCTAGATCTACAACTTATTTTATGTCTGTAAGTGAGGATTTGAATGTTATAAGTGGCCAGAAAATGAAATAGAATACAAGATACAAGAAACTCTATTTTAAGTTGACTTACATATTTCAAGAAACATTAGCTAATAAGCTATTTACAGACAATAACAAAGACATAAAACATATATACTAACATATAACAGATCTGAAAGTAAAAACATATAAAACTAGTAGCAACTTTAGGCATGAAATAAAAGTATCAAGGTTAAGAAGAACTATACAATAAGATGACAAATTAAAGCAAAGTTTGATGATGAGCACAGTACATATTGTAATATGTTGGTTACAAACAACTGAATTATGTATGAGTTGTTACACGGAGATGTACATGTATATTCTAGATTTAGATTATAATTGAATGAAGAGTAAATGGAAGCCAAAGAGGTCAAGATAACACTTCTAGGTTTATTGTTTAAACAGTTTGTCTGGACAAATAACTCTGTCATTTCATGTGGGGTATTTGCAATTGTCAGCACCACTGTAAGGCATGATGAGACAATGGCAAAGGAACCGAAATAAACATTTTTTGTCTGTCTTTTTTTAGGTCTGGTAGACTCTTAAAGCAGCATGCCTTGATCAAGTTTCATGCATATTTTCATGAAAATTTAAAAAAGTATTTAAAATCATAAAATTTTCGGAAGTGAACAAAAAAAAAATTACATGCACACAGCAATATTGCAATCTATGTTAATGACCAAAAAGACGTCAACATAAGCAAACAAAGCCCTTACTGTGCTAGTAATGCAGTACAAAAATTTAGTGATTAATACCGCAAAATCAGTCATTGATTGTACATAATATGTAAATCATTACTTGAATCTTAAATTGTTTTATTTTTCATAAAAATCTTAGTACATTTTCTCAAATTTAATTTTCTTGAAATATTTTGGCTCATCTGCAGGCAGCACCATTAAAATTATGCAGCTTTAAGATACAAAGCCACCTAATATTTCTTATTTCTAATTGCTGTATTTTCTTTAGAATACGATCATATATTCTTTAGAAAATAACACTTTTAAGTAAATTCAATAATAAATTGAGCAACTACTTTACAGTTATGAATTATTATGAATTAATACAATATATATAATTATTCATGACAAGTTGTATTATTCTCTCTCCTTTTGAAGTTTTCTTGAATATCTAATAAAAAAAAAATTGTTCAGATAAATACAAAATTCGAGGGTTAAATACAAAACTGCAGTAAGTTATATAAAATAAAGAAGGACTTACAACAATCTTGCAGTCAAACCACAAGATAGCAGGTAGACCCAATTTACATGTTATAACTATTTACATTACTACATTAAAATCTGGAAAAGGTCAGATCCCTCAAGAGTATTGAAGACAAAGCAAATATATGTAGTTGACAATTGCAAGATTGGTTTGATTGATAAATTCATATAACTAAATGAAAGAAATCTGCATTGTCATTAAAGCAAATTGTTGTTTGTAGCTAGGGTGTTCACACATTTATGTGTATGTAAATCAATTGTAGTACTGTTACACATAAAGTTGTAATCAACATAGGATTTTACTAAACTTTATTATAATTTTTAAAGTGCCTATACAAGAGTTTAACAGAAATTTGACTTCATTTGGAGTTGAACTTTAACCCTTGAATACCAGTACCAAGGGTTTTCATTATTTAAAGATGATAAGGTTGAAATGCTGTTAAAATGGGTTGTACCTTTAGCCTGTATATTAAAATATCCCCCTCAATCCTTGGCCAAATCAGCTGTTTCCATTGGCACATCTGTTGCCTCAGATAAAAATGAAAATCCTGAATACCATGTTATATTTTTGAAATGGACTTGTACTGCCTTGACTTATTATGGAAGAATCCATTGTTAAAATTAGGGGTTTTGATATAAAAAAAACTGACCTGGTTTTAAAATCAAACTACACTCTGGTTAGCTCAATAAATATAGCTAACCAACCCCCAGCACAAACTTGCCTGTGTACCATCAAAACTGTCAGATGACCTGTACACTCATTATACAGACTGACCAGTTGACACTACATAGATATGAGTTCTTAATTTTAGCTCTTTGATATAAAAATCCCCTAAAATAATAATACAGGGCGTTTCTGAACTCACATTACAAGTATTTGGCAATGTAAAGGTTAAGGCCTAGCACATGTGATCATATAAGTAGTAGAACTAATATTATAATTATAAGCTTTGATTAAATGCAAGTATAATTACTATACAGAGTTTTATATTAAAAACATATATTTAGATAGTAGAAACTTGCTATCACTTTTGGTTATTTGACCATGCAGAGCTTCAAAGCAATTGAGGTTTTAAGTGTCTACATGAAAATCACCGTGCCTACTCAATCTTATAAGTTATTTTTAGAATATGAATAATCAACTTTTGTTAAAATCCTTACAATGCTAAATATATATAATGAACTTGTCCATCTTTCAGTCTGAACAAAACATTTCATTAAAATTTTCCAAATAGTGAACAGTGCAGACCATAATCAGACAGCACAGAATGTGCTGGCTCGCCTTGGCCTGCACTGTTCACATGGGTAGTTGGGTAAGGGTTAAAGGGACTGACCACTGAGACTTTTTGACATGAAAGGACTGTAAAATATTTTTTCTAGATTTATCTACCACTTGATGTTGGTCTTGGCAAGTAACTTGTGTTCAAAATTCCAGATAATTCTGTTTTTCCAGAATAATTATTTTAAGTGTGAAAAATGACCTCAAAATGAAAAGTGTTTAAATGCTTTTTTTGTGGGGGGGGGGGGGGGTTGAACCTTACTGTTCATATAAAATAAGTCAACTTTGCAAAGTTACTGGATTAATTTCATTTTGGACAAAATATTACGTAAAAAATAATTATCATGGTACATGTACATGTAATTAGAGTCATGAATGTGTTCATTATTTAATTTTATGGGTGTTACTGCATGATTGAATTAATGACTATTTTATGCCAAATTAGTTAGACCGTAATTTTATACTTTACACCTGTAAAATCATAGTGGACTCTTCAGTCTTCACTGGTTGCGACTTAATTTTAGCATTTCAGTGTAGCATAAATTCTTAAAATCAAAAGATTCAAAGCAGGACAAAAATATTACACAAAAGTACTTCTAAATCAGTATCATTTGTGGGGAACTAATTTTCATGGTTTTCTTGAATTTAAGATCCAACGAAATTTTTTTTTTTTTGTCTGCTGTAAGATTATTTTGCATCACATTATTTATATTATACCTTTTGGAAAAAAAACAACCTAAACAGTCTACAAATAAAAAAACCTACGAAAATGTTATTTGTGACAAAAAACGAAATTTCATGCCCACAACATGAAGTGAATTAACAGTAAGTGATGATATTTTGATGTTAATATTACAGGACCAAGTGTTTTCTTCCCCCATGATGACGATGTGGATTATCCCACTGACATAAAGGGAGAATTGACACAGACGATGCCATATCATAATATGGTTGATGACAATGGTGAAATCAAACTTTGTGTTGTTTGTGGTGAACGAGCAAGCGGATTTTACTTTGGGGCATTAGTATGCCTACCATGTAAGGTAAGCAATTTTCTGATGTATTAACATAGTATGAGAGGCGCATCCGTGGCCAAGTGATTAATAGTCATTGAAGTCAAACCACTTGCCCCTAACTGCTGTGGGTTCGAGACCCAAAAGGGACATTGAATTTTTTCATGTCAGGAAACTATCCAACTTGCTTACAGAATGTCAAATCATGGTTCTATTCAGTTGCCTGTTTGTGCCTGAAAAAATACACAGAAGGACACCTAAGGTCTTCCTACACCAGTAAAGCTGGAAAATCACCACAGTAACCTATACTGTGTTGGTACAACATAAAACCCAACCAAACCATAGTATGAGAACTGTACCCTTGTTTAAAATTTGAGTGGTGTGGGTTACGAGACCAGTATGCTATTTTAAAAGAGCCAAGCCAGCCTCGACAACTCTGCAGCCAAACCAAACTGCTTTAACTACTAGTGGACTGCTCCAGATTTGAATCTGGGCAAGTCCATTGTGCATGTTTAATAGGGTAACGTTTTAATGCATAGGTGAACCTTTCACCAATGCCCCAATTAAACATGATAAATGATAAATAATGCAGGGATGTGCTTTCTGCTATAATTGATTTTATTGCCTCTCATTAAACATGTATAAGCTTCTGTTACCATTTTTACATAATTTATTGAAACACTTACATACATAAGTTATTGATAATTGATATATACATGTATAGGATGCTTCATGAAAGGCAAGGTCATTTTTTGTATTCAGTTCTGGGATGTCCATTTAGCCATACAGCTGTACATTAAACTGATTGCTTAAGTATAATCTCTCAAAATATTACAAAGTATATTTGATTTTCTAATATAGTATAACCTCATAGAGATAAATATAGAACATCATTTGTAACAGGTCTGTGACCACCAAATTTGGAATTTTAAGAAAAATATAGGTAAATGAAGGGATAAAAAACAGCAGCCAAATGAAGAACTTTTGTAGTCAAAGTGAAGTATGAGGACACAACACAGTCTGCAGGAAAAAACATTACACTGCCAGTGATTTCACTTTGCTGAGTTTCATTGATCTGCATCTGAATAATATGATCATGATGGCATTTTCTATCAGTTTACAAAATGTATTGCAATATTTATAACCAGTTACATAATCTCATTATACTTGTACATGCAGTAGAATGTATTACCGTAATTGATTATACCAGACAAAAATAAGGAAACATGCTATTTATAAGTTAAATTTCCTGTGTGCCCTTTGAAGCATTGAAGCATTATCAGTCTTGTAAAATCATCATATTAACCAGCAACATTTTTTGATCAGTCACATTACCCCATGAAACAAACAGTTATAAGGTTTCATTCATAGAATTACCTCATGGAACAGTTTAATCTGGTTACATTCATAGAATTTCCTCATGGAACAGTTTAATATGGTTTCATTCATAGAATTACCTCATGGAACAGTTTAATATGGTAACATTCATAGAATTACCTCATGGAACTGTTTTATCTGGTTACATTCATAGAATTTCTTCGTGAAATGAACAGTTTAATTTGGTTACATTCATATAATACATGACATTTTTTTTATCATCTTGAAACAATATATAACCTCATCACATAGGCATCATCATATAGACATCATCACATAGGCATCATCATATAGACATCATCATATAGACATCATAATATAGACATCATCATATAGGCATCATCATATAGGCATCATCATATAGACATCATCACATAGGCATCATCATATAGACATCATCATATAGACATCATCATATAGACATCATCACATAGGCATCAATCATATAGACATCATCACATAGGCATCATCATATAGACATCATCATATAGACATCATCACATAGGCATCATCATATAGACATCATCACATAGGCATCATCATATAGACATCATCATATAGACATCATCACATAGGCATCATCATATAGACATCATCACATAGGCATCATCATATAGACATCATCATATAGACATCATCACATAGGCATCATCATATAGACATCATCACATAGGCATCATCACATAGGCATCATCATATAGACATCATCACATAGGCATCATCATATAGACATCAAATATAAACATCATTAAAGAACATGCTACAACATTGCTAACAATCATGTTTTATCACAAAAAAAACGAAACTTGTTAAGGCAAAAACTTGTTCTTGTTTTGCTTCATTTGGCCATCCATGTTATTCTGACAAATAAAAAAAACTCAAATAGAATATAAAAATCTGAAGTGAAGTACAGTGCTTCCACACAGCACTCTCATTGACACCTGCTGTTGTGAAGTATAAAAACCTTAAAAAAAGGTGATCCCTCAGAAGCATTAAAAGCATCAAAATTACATGAACATTTCAGACTTGGTTCAGATTGAGTCTGTGCATGAGGGATAATGAAAAAGTACGATAATATCCCTCAAGTCCGAGACCTAGATACTTACCTGTAAAATACTCTATATAAAAAAATCTACTACTGAAAATATATTTTATCTGTTTTTCATTTTAATACTTTTCATATATTTCTACAATTTCTAGATAAAAAACAAAGAAGGGAAAATGGTTTGATGTTTTTTTCAATGTCACCTTTCTCCTGTTACCATAAACAACATGGATCCTGTCCTCTCTAGTCCAATATTTGGTTTTTTAATGTCCAATATATAGTTCCTACTTCAACAAAAGACGGCAGTTGGTATTACAAAAAAAAACATTGTTATTGCAACATTACAGAAGGCTATTTCCTTTTTTAACATTTACTCGTTTTATCTTGGTCAATTCCGATAAAATTCTATCGTAGATCAACATGATATGTTTACATAATGTATTGACTTTTTTAGTCTATTATGAAGTATAATAACATACAAAGAAGTCTTTTATTACGCGAGGATAGTTGAAAGAACAGACTTAATGACAATAACCTCAAGTAACCGAGTATAATGTGCGATTTCAACAGTCTCGTTTCATTTTAAGTCAACAAGCTTGCGATCACAATCATTACATTAGATTCTGTTCGGTTTTCTTTGGTCTCGCTGCAAGATTCTACTTGATAAATATCAATATATTAGATTTTTGTTCCGTTTTATCGTGTATTCAAATTAAAACCATAAATATGTACAGGATGTGCTCTATATTTGGTGGCGTTTTTTTTTTTTTTTTTTTTTTGTATTGTAATACAATTCTTCATAACAAATGTCAATAAAACAGACTTTGTTACGTTATAACATTATTTGAGGTTTGAAATGCGAAGAAAAAAAAATGTTAAGAGACATTATTGATTCGAATTGCTAACATGCATTATGCGATGTTTTTATCCTGTGCCAACGATTTTTATCATTTTTTATCATTTTTAACAACCACTTGTCAGTGGGCGACCAAGTTACCTTTATATTTATTGAGGATATGTCATTGTACAGCATGTGTCAGTGCAAAACAAGATTAAAAGATCGTTTTTGAAGATTTCTTGTAGGATTACAGCTTAAATGTTTAAGAAAAGATTAAATTTATCCTTGGGTCTATTTCAAAATATCAAACTTATGTTAAAACAGAAACGAAAAGGTGTTAAGCATGAAAGGAGTGGTTTTCTTAAGAATTATGTTTTTAAGGGTTTTCCCCATTCTTTCTCTCCTGGAAAAAAAAATTTGATTGCAGAAAAAAATAGAAAATGTAGTTTTATTGATTATTGAGTATAATATATATTAATGGAGCAAGAAGGAAGTCGCCTCTTTCTCTTGTATTAAAAAAAACCAGCCTTATAATTTGGCAGTAAACAATAACTTACCATGCATGGTTTAAAATACAAAAAGATTTCTTTTAAAATTCAACTATTGAAGATCTATCGAAATAGCTGCTACAGATTTGGGTATATATAATATATATTTGTTTATCAAATTCAATATTTATATTTGTACCTATACAGTTCATGTCTAAATTTAGCTGAAGGTTACAAATTATGGAAAGTAGAAAATGAAATTAAGTTCTTGAAATATGGTAATGAATTTATCAAATCAACTCACTAGATCAACCAACCAACTTATCAACCAACCAACCATTACCAACCAACTTTTTAAACCATCAAACAATCAATAAAAACACATAAATTTTTTTAATCTTTATTCAATTAAAGTCCCTTACTTTGCTCAATCAATCGCATGTTTTAAATAATAAATTGACCCTTTTCTTCAATCTTCAGATTAGCTAGGACTATTATGAATAATCAGCAAGGAGTTTTGAATGGACTGAACCTGATTTGAATTTGGACCAGTCCATTGTGAGTTAAGCAAAAATGAGCAGCTACAGTAATAGTTTTAGAATGATAGGGCCAGCAAAATCTGATTTAATTTGAATTACTTGTCTGTTTTTATGTGAAGCATTTTTTAACCTGTCCATATGATATTTACATACAATGTAGTTAATTCTGGAAATTTTTCACTTGTCCATACAGGCTGTGGGACAACCTGGGCAATACGGACAATTGATTTTGCCGGCCATTCAGTAATGCTCTGACAGTTACTGACCTACTGGCAAAATTTTACAAGTCACTTGGTGTATGCTCTCTCATTTTTCAAACATGTAGCACTCTGATCATTCTTAGTTTTGTGACCTTCATTTGACATGAAAATGCTCAGTTGAAACCTTCAATTGATATTAAAACCTTCAGCTGACATGAAAACCTTCAGCTGACATGAAAACCTTCAGCTGACATCAAAATGCATGATTTAAATATATTGTACATGTATCATAAATGAAAATCGTACATGTATCATTAATGAAAATCGTGGAGCTTTAGGGGCTATTTTCTAGACTTGCAAGGGGGCAGTGGCATTATTGCCTGTATGGGTCTAACATAGCCCCCTGAACCCATATAATTGTGCCTACTATCAACTTTGGCCTTGCCTAACTCCTGATTGTCTAAATATCATGTTTTTAACATAAGCTGTCACCAATTCCTACCTGGTAGAAACTGGACCCAAACCTCACAAGAACGGACCGTTTCATTTTGCCAAATTTTCTGAGTATGACCTCTGTTCTGTAACCAAGGGCATATCAAGAATTTCCAGTTGGAAGGTCATATTTAGAAATTATATAAAGTTACCTCTGATATAAATATTGGTTTCACATTACTTTTATTCACCCTGCAAAAGCTAAATTGAATTCTTTTATGCTGGAAAAAGTGACTGACACAGCTATCTAACATCATAATCTTGTCATAATGAATTTATTAAGCTATTGAGTATACAAAAAATAATTTTCTTATCAGAAACTTGCAAATTAATGACCACTTCATACAACTGCAAAACTGTTGAAAACAGGTGTTAAAACTAGAAAAGAAAGTTAAAACCCATGGGTTTAGTATGTTGAAATAAGATGGGTCATTTGTTTAAGAAGGCGGGTAAATAAATACCTACCAAAAAGGAATGTAAAAAAAATAATTATTAGAAGTATTAAGATGGTCTATATAATGTTGCAAGGGAATTTACCTAGTTACTGGTTCATAGCAAAACGAAGACAATCATTGGTAATGCAATGGACAATTTAAGACTCCCAACAGGGTTTAAAGTTTGTAGTAGGTCTGCCTTTTGATAAATATTTTCAATAAAATCTGTGTCTCAGTGACATTTTTTTCTTTGACACTTAATTATTAGATATATAACTATTTCAGTTAAGCATTCAGTTATGACCCATTGTTGTTATTTACTATATAAAGCGCTTCATGATTAACTAGCAATGCAATAGGTGGCGCTTTTGTCAATCTTTTTTTAGAACAGAGAGTGTGTATGTTTGAAGCAATGTCATCATCTTTGTCAAAACGTTTTTTTGTGTTGTTTTTTTCAGAGCTTTTATATAAGATGTACGAAAGATGGCGAACCAAGCTTCACGTGCCAGTGTAGCGGAAATTGTGATATAGTTAAACAAGGTCGTATTCGATGTCAATACTGCCGCTATCAACGATGTCTAATGGCAGGAATGTGCCGTAAAGGTAACCTAATCTATATTTAGAATTATCAAATTCAATTTTAAACTTTTGTTGCCATAGTGATGTATTACGTTGCAAACCATTGACAGAGCCATTAAGCTTTTATATCTGTATAGATAGGTTGGGCTGATGTAAGGTTTTATGATAACCTTGTCATCTCATCATGTTATCTTTAAGAAATACTTGAAAATTCATTCTTTTCATTATTGTCAGGAGATAAGCCTATTTTGAACATAAAAGTGGCACGCCTACACATTTATGCATTATTTTTGTTGAAAACTAAAAACTTGTTAAATAAAGTTTTAAAAATTTGCAAAGGGAAAAAATTTCTTCCTAGAATAGAAAACTTTATTAAGCATCCTCAGATAAATGTCAGTTTTTGGAAACTTTAGAAAATGCTCTAAATAGTAAAAACTTGTATTGTACAAATTGAGGACTCAAAATTATTAGTTGCATTTATTATTGTGTCATTAATATCATTAAATTAAAAAAGCCCTTTCTCATAAAAACAAGATTTTGATAAAATTATTACTTCATCATAACAGTCATATCTTGCTTAATGATGATGCAAATCTGCACATAGGTAGCCAAAAATGATGCAAAATTTTCTTATTGTCTAATACAGTTTACTATTTAGCTTAACTATAATATTTACATATATAATAGGGAGAGCTATCCTCATCACTCCCGAAGTGACACACACTCCATGGAGGTCCAAAAGCCTAAAAACATAAAATTTGAATTTAATTTCTTACATAGATATAAAGCTGGGTCACATAAAACAGAAAAATACCCAAAAGAACATTAAGGAATATAAGAAGAAATCAATTGAAAATCATACTTTTGTGCTATTCTTAGCCTTCTTTGAGTTAAAAGTGTTGCAATGCTTTTCAATTTTGGGTCATAATGAGTTTCCACTAAAATAATTATCCCCGGAAGAATGGAGTGAGCAAATGATCTGAAATTTTGCACACATTGATGATTTATTGGTCTAGACCTACAGTCCAGTTATGTAAAGAAACCTCAGTGTTAGTCCCTTTAACCCATAACCAGATATATACGCATTTCTACGCCTTTTTTCACCCCCCCCCCCACCCACCCCCAAACCCCCCTTCCTTTTTTGCTTTCTCAAATGGTTGAAAAAATGCCTTATTTAGGCCCCCAAACACTTGTTTTTGTTTGAGAAATGTTGTTTAAAAAAGTTACCACTTTTTTGGCGCGGTCCCCCATCCAATAGATACAGAAGGGGGGATGTGCCCCCTTTTGTTTTGGGGGTTTGAAGGGGGGCGGTAGTCCCCCTAATCGCCAAGAAAATTTTGGACTTGTGAGAGGCTAAAAATGACCGAAGGTCCATCATAAGGTAATGTGTAACCAACGCTGAAAAGCCTTTGACTCTATCTCAATCCATTGAGAAGTGGCAGCACTTTCAAATAAATTTTGATGGAAAAAATCAACGCAAAATAGTGATTTTTGGCAATTTTGAGATGTCCCCTAGTTGCCATGGTAACAGGAAATTTAAGACTGATCATGTTGTTGCAAAGGCAATGGTCCAGTCAACATTTGTGCCAAGTTTGATTAGTATTGAAGCAGTTTTTATAGTTTTATAGCAACTTGAACCTGTAACGGGAGACTTTTCAATGAAAACAGCCATTTTTCACAAAATGCTCATGGGGTAATGCCAGGGTTAAGGTTTTCATACAACCCCACCCAAATCTTGAAATCATGTCCCCTGACTCCCGTCCATTAGTAGTCTCCGTTGAATTCTCATCTATGTCACCTCAAGAAACCCTAGTATGCATTTGTCATAGGAAAGGCTTATAAGTAATTTGATTAATTTCAAATATACATGTATTTCATTTTTTTCCCCTCAATTTAGCCTAAACAAACTAGGTTATACTCAAGTATAAATTTTACTTTAAGATGTTTCATAAACTCTGTGGCTACCTGAGTTAATATCAAATTCAAACAGATAAAGGAGCTGAAGATTTGAATGAATATCTTTAAATGGAAATCCAAGTTATTTGACTTATATTGATTGTGAATTTGTTTGAATGTAAGATTCAATATAAAGATTTTTCTAAAGCCATTGTATGAGTGACCTTTATTTTCTGTTCAGTCTACCAAACATTGTTCAAAGGTTGTGAAAACATTGCAGAAAACGTGATATTTACTTCAGTTAGTCAATACAGTCATGTATTTAGTCAGGCAAATATTCGATTTATTGGGCAGGTTACCTGAGGTACTGAAAGTAGCCGAAATTAAAAACCACTTAGTACCTAGGTCTTTCTGTCACAGAAAAATGTAACAAGAAATAAGTGACATTGAACGTTTTGTTCAAGGAAGGACAACAGTTACTGATAACATCATTTTTTTCTAAAAAACTAAAAAAAAATTAAAATCTGATCCTCAGATTTTTGTCCATACAGTCAAACTTTGAGTTAAAAGCCACCTTAAGATATTAAAGTGACTCCACTGAGGATTTTTGACATGATGGAACTGGAAATATTTGTTTGACATTTGTATACCATTTGTTCAAAATCTAGACCAGTTACTTATATGCAAAATTTTTTATCATTTGCTCACTCCATTTTTGTAGAATAATCATTTTTATTGTACAAAATGACCCAGAAACTAAAAGAGCTATAACGTTATTGCTTTTAACTCAAATCATGATAAAAATTACATTTTAAATCTATTTTCAGGTTAATTCCGAGTTTATTTGTCTCTTATAATTTTGAATATTTTTTCCTTTTTCAATACCCATTGCATATTGATTAAATTTTATGTTTTTTAGGGCTTTGAACCTCGGTGGAGTTCCTTTAAGACCTTCCCAAAAAAGTTGGTCTGTCAAAAACTACCATATTAGTGTCTGTCATAATCCTTCAAAATTTCTTTCGATAAAATCTGATCGACTAATTTTGAAACCTCAACATTTATTAACCAGCACAAACAATCAAGTTTTAAATCTATATCTATTTAGTCACACAAAAGTCATTAAGTACATTTATTTTAAATGACTTTTGATGTTTGTGTAATCTATTTCAACATGACCTTAGTTTTCAAGGTCACACACGCCTTTCAGTATGGTGATTAGATATTCACAATACACAGCCTTACCTCTCCATTAAAAGCCGCTAATCCCTGTAGTATATTTACAAGATTCTCAATTCTTTTAAGTGATTTTATTCTTTGATTTGATATTATTTTATTCTCCCCCCCCCCCTCCTGATCAAAATTTCTAATGATCGTTTAAGGGAGATTTTTAAAGGAGGGGGTCATTTAAGTGCTTAAAGCTTGTTTATTAATCCTTATACCATCTTAAACATCTTAAAATGGTCTTGCCAATCTTTCAATTAGGACAAAACAATTCACCTGCTGATTTTGGTCTGCACTATTTGATCGGGTAAATTCTATCGCCCAGGTTAAAAAGCTAAAGTAGATTCTCCTTGAGGAGAGTATCTCTGTCCTGATTGGGCCTTTAAAAACATGAAACTATGGATATTCTTCTTGAGCAAATTGCTCATATGGATTTCCATTGTGACTTTAAATAAACAAATTTACACATTTACATACAAAACATACACAAAAACTAAGTGAACTTACTTTGAATGAAGAAAATTTCATAAATCATTTAAAATAAAACACTTGAAACACTTGCTTTTGTCTTTCCTGATGTCACATCTAGTTAATAATCTTGAAATCTGAGTAAAACTATTAAAAAAATTTCATTTATTGAAGTATTCCTTCATAAGCAATATGCATTTAGATATGGTTGTATGTAAGTATAGTTTACCTCTAGAAGATTATTTATATGGTATGGGGCATTAACTTCAAGGTGAAATCTTCTGAAAGGCCGGCAGTTTTTTAAACTTAAAACAGTACCACTATCAAAAATCAAATCTTGGACTTTCAAATCCATGATTGTCAAATTTATGACAAATATCAACTCAGAATCAGTATCAATTTAAGATTTGTAAAGAGAATTATTTTCTGAGAATTCAGAAAAAATATTACTGTTTTCCAAAAATAGAAGCCAATATCAGCTTTAGAATAGGCACAAAAACCATTGTCGGTTATAGAACGATTTACTCGCGTCTTTCAGGGTCCCTAACATCTGTCAATAAAAAGTTCTTTTCAAATTGCCTCAAGTTTGATCTTGTCTGGTATGAATGCAATTACAAATTATTAAACACGTTTTAGAGTAATAGAACAGAATTTATAAAAAGTCTGGAGTTGCCTTGAATATAAGAATGAATTAAAATCATTGAAATAATTTTGTATTCAAGGGTGTGTATATAATTAAACATGATACTTGCTGATAATCAATTTAAAAAATACTATGTTGTTTCTTATATATGCTGCCAAGCGGTTGTTTCTTTACCCTAACCACTCTAAATATATTAAATAGACTTGTCCAGCTTTTAATCTGGACAAAACCATTCATCGTTTTTAGGGAAAATTTCAAAATACTTGTACTGACTGAATAGCAAACAATGTAGACTATGGTCAAATGGCACAGATGTGCTGGCTGATTTGGTCTGCACTGGTCACATGGGTAGATTCTGAAGCCATCAACAGGTTAAGTGGTACCAAAGAGTTTAGCTGTTATTTCATGAACATAGACATAAAAATTTAACAGAAAAAAAAACGTACTCAAATAAATTATTGACCAGTCGCTTTTCCGCAGCCTTTTGTAAATGGATCCAGCCGTTTGAATTTTGAAAATAATAACACTCATGTCAGTACTTGTGAAAGTAGCCTATAGATATAATATTATTAAAATTTAGCTGTTTAATGGGGGCGGGGAGGAATTGACAATTGTGAATTTCCATAAAAAAGTTTTTAAAAAAAGATACTTTTTTAGCTTTGTGAATGAGACCCTTAAACTATTTCGGCCCAAAAACTGTTTGGGTAAAAAACCCATCTGGATTTTGTTGCTATTTTAAGTAAACTATAGGAATGATTTTTCAAATTTGACAGTGACTGCACAGAAATTTAAAATCATGATTCTTTCAATTTATGTACTTTGGTAAAAGTTTTACGAGATACAAACAAATAGTCTGCCAATAACTGACAGTCCGTATTTACTTTATACTTTTCAAAATGAATGCTCTATTAAACAAAATATAAAAAAAAGGAAAATGATATTGCCCAATCCTATATGTTGAAATCTGAGCTGAGTTTGGTTAACAGACAAAAACTTTGTGTTATAAACAAATTAATTCTGTTGAATGATTGAAAAACCCAACTTTAAAATTTGATAAAAACACTTGAATGTGTATTATTTTACATCAATAAGAGGTTTAATTTATATGTTCATTGTATTTCAAGTACTTTGGACAACTTAATAAACACTTAAACACTTGTTTTTAAGACTTTTTTAGAATTTCAATTTTACACATCACACTTACATTGGAGAAAATCATAAATAATGAATCAGTAATCTTGTTTATTCATCACACCATTTTGTATGCCCTTCGTGAATTTTATTAGATAACATTGTAGAAAAATTCATAAAAAGCACTTCTAAATTGAGTGTCTTATTATGTTAACAGTCAAATATAGGGGGGGGGGGGGGACTGGGAGAAATATCATATTGAGAGGTGTATATTATTGAACTCGTCAAATGTCATCCATGTATAACCATTGGTATCAGTTTTCAGAAAAAAATAGTTTCAAATATAATGATGGCTTTTATACGATCAACAAATTTAAGTTTTGTAAAAAAAAAATTTCGAAATTTTCACTCAAGTTTTCCAGTATGAAAGGCAATTGGGCTTCTGCAGAAAAAAGAAAGAAAACAATTCTGGTACTGATAATGACTAGACTAAGCCACCAGTTCAGGGGGACGGCCTGTCATTGGCGCCCTTTCTGGCCACACTTGTTATATAGTTGCTCTATTTTAATAATTTGATGTCAAAACCCTTCAGCGCCCTCTCTGGCCACACTGGTCACAATTTGTTGCACTGTTTTAATAATTAAAAACCCCTCAAATTAACAATGGGTAGTCCCAAAACAAAGTAGGACAAGTTCATTATACAATTTCATCAGTGTGATGGTTATAAAATGTCCTATATTAAATATATAATAAAATATAACAGAGCACTATTATTAGTTAAAACACAATGAAATCTTTAGAATATAACAGTCATTTACATGATCTAAGATATAATACTACCTGGTAAGATATAGGCTACAAAGACAAAAGTTAGTAATGAAACAATAGGATCTGTGCCAAAAATGAATTATAAGGTATTGCCCTGTAAATATATATATAATCAATAGAAATACCTATACATTAACAGAAGGAATGTTATTTCTTTGATTGATTGATTAATTAATTGATTGATTGATTAATTAATTGATTGATTAATTCATTGATTCATCACTCACTCACTCACTCATTTATTTATTTATCTATTTTATTTATTGATTTATTTATCTTTTTTATTTATTTATTAAATAATTTATTTATCTTATTGTATCTTATCTTATCTTATTTTATCTTATCTTATCTTATTTTATCTTATTTCAGAGAAACCAGAGACAGTCCAGCCAGCTGAAGGCCAAGTCTTGTGTAAAGTTTGTGGTGACATTGCTAATGGCATTCATTTTGGTGTAAACACTTGTGAAGGATGCAAGGTCAGTATTAATCTTCTGTGAATAATTCTAGGCATTTGTTTAAAAATTACATCGTTACATGTGAAGGATAAAAAATAAGTGCAATAATCATATAAATGAGTTCAAATAATTACTATTATTTTGTTATGAAGTCTGGTAACTATTGTTATATTTGGTATGAATAATAATACAGAAAGCAATTTAGGTAATTGTAGATATTTCAGTATAAGTTCTTCTGAAACAAGATAATTAACTATTGCAATTTTGGTGTAAATTCTTGAAAAACATCAAAGATAGCAGGTAAACTGTAATTAGTCATTTGATATTGTGAAAAGTTAATATAGTTGCTGATTTCATTTTAGTCTCAGCATCAAACTAATTTATTTTATAAAGTTCAATTTTGCTGACTTGATAATTGGTTCAAATGTTTTTTCTTTTTATTTACAGAAATTTTTCAGACGCGGTTTAGTTGAAAACCAAAGTTATATTTGCAAAAGCGAGAAAGAATGTGCTATCAACCCAAGAAATCGTAACAACTGTAGATATTGCCGTTATCAGAAATGTTTGACTGTCGGCATGTCCAGAGAAGGTGAGTAGAGCACCTAAATTTGAGCCACGCCATGACAAAACCAACATAGTGCGTTTGCAACCAGCATGGATCCAGACCAGCCTGCGCAGTCTGGTCAGGATCCATGCTGTTCGCTATCAGTTTCTCTATCAGTCAAAGATCATCACTATAAGACTTAAGTTCACATATAGAAAACCTTCACTAAATGCAAAAATCTAAGTATTCTTCTACATAAAGTGACAAGAAACCAACTAGCAACATAGACCATTGTGTTACATACCTATGTCCTGCTTTATATAAAGATTTTCTGTATTTGTCATCTGCTACAAATATATAATTGTAAGACACAAGTAGACAACTAAACCAGACTATTAAAACATTTCAGTTGCCTCCCATTACCCATTTTTTTCAAACTATAGGTAGATTTCATTTTTTTTGTGAGCCTGGTCAGAGATTTTTGTTAAAGCAGTATTGCTATCTAAAAATTCTAGTGCAATAGAATTTGTATTTGATAGAGGAAAATTCATTTTAGAAAAATTCTGTAGTGAATAATAGGTTCTTAAATAATATTTGTGATAAGAATCTACAATAAATCATGTTTTACACTTGAAATAAAACACCATAAAGCAGCTTAGATATTCCTCGGCTTGTAAGACTATGAAGATTTCCACGTGACCTTTACATTGTCGTTGTAATTCCAACAACAAACTTGAATTTATTGCTGAAAAATTTTACACCGAAAACTGGCAGTGCTATCCTGTGTTTGCTTGGTGTCGGGTAAAAATGATTTTAAAGATTGACTGTATTTACTCTCATATAAGTCTGACCTCTTTTAAGACAGGTTCTAGGTTTGGATTTATTTATTTATTATCTAGCAATAAAGATGGGAAGACCAAAGAAAGGAGATGGAAGTGAAGCATCCTGTTTGACAAGCAGTCCCAAAATGACTCGCCAACCACTTGTAGACTTAGAAAACAATCAATTAACGAATCCCCAAGTCGGGGAGGAATCTTGTGATAATGTAAAGACATGTTTACCCGTTGACAAAATAAAGGAAGAACACCTTACAACCAGTTGTCATTTTGAAAAGAAACTTGGAGACAGTTGTAACCAAGGGCAAATGTGCACGCCGAGATGGCAGCCTTGTAACCAGGGACAAATTGTCTCCACAGGTTCCCACAGTCAAAATGCAAATGGTGTTACAGAATTTATTGAAGAAGAAATGGACGAGATATTGATGATGTTACAGAATGATAACCAAGGCGGACCTCCCGCCAAAAAACAACGTTGCTTTAGGTACAATGATGAGAATATGCAGAGGACCTGCAAGCCAGAATTTGGAATGCAAAATGAGGAATGGCTAATAAACGATATGTCCGGTCAACCGATCGCTGAACCCATGAATATGAGCGTGAATCATATGATGTCAAGACCACCACCTCAGTATCCTGGTTATACTAACAACATGTCACCTTGTCATTCTCCAAGAAGTCAGGGGTCATCTCCTCCAAGGTATATGTCAGATGCTGAGGTCCATTCCCCAGGTTACATTCCAAATGGTAGTCCTAGATCACCATCTTGTCAGTATTCTCCCAGGCATAGCCCCATGTACATGCATCCACATTCCCCACACAGTCCCTATCAGGATGACATGTGTCAACAAGGATCACCATACAGTGAAGCTGGATACCACAGTGAACCATACAGTCCCCAGGATAGTTACCAGGTCACAGATTTGTCTGTCCATTGTGGTTTACAGGCGATGAACCCCTGTGGCTCTCCAGCTCAAACTTCTCCTGTCTACAACAGTCAAATGACTCAGCTATCAAACCCCAGCCCATCTATGACCATTCCTCATCAGGAAGGGGGAGTTAACTCCCATGACGGCTGGTGTTTGACTGGTTCTCCGTCATTTTTCTGTGAAAGTCCATTACAAAACTCAAATCACACAACCATTCCAAATCAGGAAGGGAAAAGCATTCGTAGTTCATCCAGATTAGCAAACCTACAGAAGATTAACCATTTTTTCATGTCAAAGACTCCATGTACTCTCCAACTGTCCCCAGATAATGACCTTGATGGGAAAATGACAAGAGGTGACATTGAAGAAGAAATTGTTCATAAAACACTTGACTCGGTTAGCCCAGCACAATCATTCTACTACGTTATGTCCGAGAGTCACTCGTACTCGAGTGATTCAAGCTGCGGCACAAACTATGATACATTTACATCTTGCCAGCGCGCCAACAAAAGAAAGTCATGTGACACATCTGATATGACGGACCCAGCAAGTTTAGCTGGTTCCAGTGTGGGAAAATACAACGAGGGTGTGTCCAGGAAGTATTGGCAACAGATACCATGTGACAGAACAGATGTGGAGCCAATGACGTCACACAAACAAGCTTTACTAGATCACTTGAACAAAATCTTTGAGCAGATGGTGGAACGATGTACGGAATCATTATCAACGAAGCCCTTAACAGGACAGGTAAAATTATTTCTAATAAATTTTCAAAATTATTTATTGATTTACTTATTCAATAAACTTTGTCATATCATATTCAAAATTTTGTTTTTGAAAGCTAAAGTGATTTAATACACATTTAAAAGTTTAAAATGTTTATGTGTAAGTAATCACCGGTAAGTTAAATGTTGTCCGATTCAAATAATGAGCAAGAAACTTTACATAAATTGTTTAGTGCTATAGTTCCAGGAACAGATTCCAGAATGTGTCTCTCAAAAAGCTTATCATTTCTTTAGCTTCCTACACAGACTAAGACAACTTCTGTGTAAACTAGAAAACTAAAATATATTCAATAATCACTAATGTTGATAAGAAGAACAAGATAATTATAAGATTAAAAATCATTTTGAATTTGTTTAATATCTTTACCAATTTTTTCCAGGAAAATGCTAACTGGCAGCAGATTCAGTTACGAATTATTCGTAACACATCGGCAGTGGTCAAGTTTGCATCCCAAATACCAGGTACTTTACTGTTTGTATTTAAGTGATTTGTCAAAATAAGTCTGTGGACCTAGGGATTGTAAGTTTGAGTCCCTGACAAGGCACCACTGGCACCTGGTGAGAGTCCCTAAATAATGATAAAATGAAACAAATAATTCCCATATAACAAAAATTGCTTTCCAGGAGTGTCCTCATAAACCTTACCATATACATGTTTAAAAGTGAATGTTACATAATTGTTATGATAGTATAACTATATGGGGGATGTGTATGAAAAATGATTCTTGGTAAAAATTTTAGGAAATTTCGCTCTGGAACAAAATCCAGAATACTTCTTTTAGTTCAATTGACTGCTAAAATACATGTATGGCAAAACCACTGTTACATAAATCTGGGTGTATATATAAAAATCACAACCACAAATTGAGCTCAACTTAAAAATTCAATATATATTTTATTATCACAGGGTTCAGTAATCTCCACCCAGAAGACAAAGAATTCCTGTGTAAACGTGTGACATTCATGAGCACCCTTCTGATGGCGGGACAACATTTATACAGCCCATCAGAGAAAAATTTCCATGATTTCTGGAACTGGCAAATCACACCTCAGAACCCATTTTATTTATTCAAAGAGAAGCTTTTGGAAGTTGGAGAAAAGATTCATTCGGCACACATGGACATGTATGAAGTTTCAGTAATGGCAGCTCTCAATTTCCTGGCCTCTGGTGAGATATTTGTGTGTTTAAATCAAAACTTTGGCATGCATATCATCAAATATAGTTTTAACCCTAAGCCTCTTGAATTTCTTAAATAGACTTGTCCAGTCCAGTGAAAATCAATCAATATACACCGTCCAGTGAAAATCAAGAAATTTAAGACAGAAAAAAATAGTTTTATAACCTCAAAGCCAGCAGCTGAGTAAGGATAACAGGTAACTTTCAAGATAGAACCATCAACCGCATCTGGTTATTGTGGGGGTTTCAAATCCCTCAACGGATTTTACTTAATTCATGTGTGCAAGCTATTCATATTCTGTACTAGTGGTTCTTTACTCAGGTAACCACAAGTGGCAGAGGGGCAAATCTATGCATAGATCTTTCTCCATCAGTAATACCTTGATGTTGCAATATGTATAATAACTTGTAGTATCTGTGTGACATGCAACCCATCCAAGTAACAATTTGTTGTCATTTCACAAAATTCCTTAGTTACTGCCACAAATTTTGAAAATTTGAATTAATGACATTGTTAGTTTAAATTGATCAACTTTTCAATAACATGTATATAGAGTACTTTGTCATAGAGTAATATACATCAAAATTGACATGATCATTTAAAGTAGTTGATTTTTATGGCTTTTGTGGTTTTAACTAACATTAACATTTAAAGTATAACTTTTAATAACATGTACATTATAATTTATTTATAGACTTCTTGGACTTGGCTTATCCAGAAGCTATTGAGGAGGGAAGAGGAAAACTTATTGCTGCACTTAAATCTTATGAATTAAGTAAGTATCATAAACTTGTCTATATTTCACAACTAAATGTATCATATAACAAGACTGTCTTGATACAGAAAAATAGGCTGTTGTATTATTTCCTATCATATTTCATACAGATAATGAAAGAATGAAAGTCTGGTCTTATTCAAACAAAATAATATAATTTGATTTTGATTCAGCATCAATCAAATATACTGTTATAATAGCAAACAGTGCAGACCATGATCAGATGGCATAAATGTCCCAACTGATCTTGATTATTTGTTTGTTTGATTGGGTTTTAAGTCACACAACACAGTATAGGTCATTTGGCGACATTCCAGCTTTTCTGGTGGAGGAAGACCACAGGTGCCCTTTCGTGCATTATTTCAGGCATGAACAGGCACCTGAGTAGAACCACCCACCTGTAAGCATCTGAGTAGAACCACCCACGTTCTGTAAGCATCTGAGTAGAACCACCCACGTTCTGTAAGCATCTGAGTAGAACCACCCACGTTCTGTAAGCTAGCTGGAGAACTTCCTCACATGAAAGCCTCTGTCAGAATTCAAGCCCACAGCAGTGAGGGGCAAGTGGTTTGAAATCAATGACCTTAACCACTCTGCCACGGGGCTGATCTTGAACTGCACTTGTTGCACGGCCAGAGGGAATGTGTTAAAGTAGGTCTCCCCATTTCCAAAATTATTTAGGTATTATTAAGCACATGTTTTTTAACAAGATACAAACATTTTACCATTTACAGACAGTCCTTAAATATAGCATTACATTTTTTATGGTGAAATATTGTGATTTACATGTTATATGATTGGTTTTTACAGCAAAAGGAATAGATGTACATTCAAGGCTGACACATTTGTTTAGCCTCATTCCGGAGATCAGACATGTAGGCATGTGGCATCAGCAATTAATGAAACAGATGAAGATAAATGTACACAAGCAGGAAGTGCAACAACTATATGATGCAGTCAATTATAGAGAGAGCTAAATATTTAGTGGTGTTAGACCATGTTACATAGCCACAACAAAGCCAAATAACTTTTTAGCAATACCAGGCCACATAACAATTATTATGAAATTATTAGTGAAAGGTCAACTTACATTTAGCAATACCAGGCCAATATATTACACAGTGCAAGGCCAAATTATATTTAATGGTACCAAGCCACATTTCATTCAACTTAAGGCCAAATAACATTTAATGGTACCATTTTAGCCATATTACATTCAACTTTAGGCCATATAACATTTAATGGTACCAGGCCACATTAAATTCAACTTTAGTCCAAATAACATGCAATGGTAACCAGGCCACATAACATTCAGCTTTAGGCCATATAACAGTTAGTGGTACCAGACCATATAACATTAAACTGAATAAGCCCTGGTATACCATGAAAATATGCATGTCCATATTTTTATAGAATTCTTCATGGTAAAAACATCTATAGATTGAAAAAGTGTAAAAATAAGTCACATGATATAACTACTCAATTTGAACAAAAGCAAGGCCACACTATTTATGAAAGTAGTTTAACTGAAAAATTTGTCTAAATTTTTGATCACCCATAATAAAACTGCATACTTTTTAAATTCTGACAAAACTTCCTTGCTTGTACAACCATTAATAAAGCTGGTTTATTTAAAATACAGGATAAGAATGTGTCACAAAGTACTTTTCCGTCCATTTTTATATGCAATAATGTCCGTCCATCAGACCATTTTTAGTCTACAATTTCATTTTAATTTCTACATTTTATAATTCTGCTTACTAAATTTCAATGAAATTTTACAATAAAGGTCCTTTTATCAAGATCTTGAACTATTTTGTTGCCAACTTTTTGTTATAAATATAAAAAAAAAACCCATACAGATAACTTCAAGGTCATTAAGGTCAAATATGATTTTATTGGTTACAGTTAATATTTTCTGCAAATTTAACAGTAGTTCTAAGCAATTTGCATGCTATGTACTGATAATGGTTGCCAGAATGTTAAAAAATTTCTTTTAACACTAAAACAGTATGAAAATAATTTTTCACAATCTTTTTTTTTTCACCTAAGACATACATGTATGTGCTTTTATAATTGACATCACAAGGAAGTGATCTGACCTAATCACAAAACATTACAGTCATATAACCATAACATAGAAAGTATGTGAAATAACACTATCACACAGAAGTATGTAAAGATCTTTGATCACATTTCATATATGGGGAAAATGTTTGATCACAATGTTATATAATTATGTGTCAGTGATCTATGATCACATTTTACATATGGGGAAAATGTATGATCACCTGATATATATGTGTCAGTGATCTATGAACACATATATTGGAATGATATATATGTGATCACATTGAATAAAAGGGGGACATGTGTGATCACATGTTATATGTGAGTGATCAATGATCACATTTAATATATTGGAATGAATTGATCACAGGAAGCATGTATAAGAGTGGATATTTTGGTGTGATCACAGAATAAATGACATTTAATTTGAATTAAATATACTTGTTAAGGGACCATACATACAGTTTAGTGATCTCAGCAGTTGTGATAAATAAGTAGACTGATATATTTTAGTCTTACACATTTAAAATGAGAAAATGCATGATTTAAAAGTGCGAGATATTTCTAAAAATGTGATCACTCAAATATTGTGTTTATGATTGTGTTTCTACTAGGATCACAGTATGTGTTTTTTCCTAATAATAGTAGGGAAATGCCAGTTTCTGAATGTTTTTGTTTAAATGATAAAAAATGTAAGTTTTTATTGGAGTGATTACAAAAAAAAATGTAAGCATGTTTTCGTTTAAAATTACCGCAAAATATAGTACATTTGTACACAAGATTATTTAAATGATCAAAGAATACGAGTGTTTTCATTGAGGTGATCACAGAATGCGAGTGTTTTTATTTTAAGTGATTACTATATATGCTAATGATTAAGAGAATAATAATATTATTGAGGAATATTTTATGAACCTTAACTCTGCTGTTACCGAAAGATATAAGCCTTTGCCCTCCAGTATAGAGCCAGGTCTGAGTCTATGTAGTCTATCTGACTAGGCTCTAAACTGTTGGCTGGCTTACCTTCGGTTCTTCTTAATACCTAAAAGTTTGATAATTCATTGGTCAAAACACATTGGAAGCTGGTAAAGTCCATTTAAGAAACTCAGCAGGTTAAGGGTTATCAATAAAATATTTTTCACATTTACCGATAATCTTGGTAATACATGATTAGATATTTTTAACACATGTACATGTTGATTTTTTTTGTAGATTTTTTTTAAAATGGAAGAATGTTGCAAGAGAAGCTATGTGTATTGTCCTATAGATTTAATATATAATTTATGATGATACTGCTTAAAGCTCAGATATGCTTACAATGATTAATGTACACTCTGGGTGTTTATCATTATTGTTGAATTTTGTAATGATAAACATACAAAATTTTCATTCACAAATGCTTTAAAAGATGATGAAATTTTTTACCAAGTTTCCAATAAATAAATAAATAAATACTTAATATCAGGTGATATTTTGACTTTATTTTATCTATCTATTTTTACTCAAATGAAAGTGCTTTGTTTACAATATAATGTTAATTAAAGCATAGATCGTCCCATACATAGAATGCCAATCTGTTCTTGCATTCATCAATTAAAATTAAATAGCTTCAAGTTCATTGAACAAGAAAAGTATGGTTTGAAAATCTATAAAGTTTTACTACTGAAATTGAAAAGGCAGGTGTAAAAATATAAGTTTTTTTTTATAATTCCTGAGGTTTGAGGGAATGCTATGTATTTTTGTGGAGTCATATTATTGTTAAGAGAAAAAAGTACTTTTTATCGTTATAAGTTTTATGAACTACAGAAAAAGAATGTTAAAGTTTTGTTAATTTTATAATTTAGTTATTTTATCGATTAGTTTTGTTAAAATAGTTGTTACTGTCCTTATATATACATGTATAATTTGTGATTGCTTTACGTCTTTAATACCTGAATAGTTTTTGATTGCTTTACTTTTGTTGAACCCTATAAAAATCATTTAAAGACTGAACAATTTATTAATGTTTAAAATCTAACTTTACAAATACTGAATAAGAGGGAGAGATAATGTTTTGTTTTCGATGTATGTATTGGATTTTTTAAAAAGTACACTTAATTAAGATTCAAATCGTAAAAAACAGATATATTATTAACAATGTGTACCACAAGCAGTAATGTTTGAATTATAAGTTCCTCAAAGAAATTAATATTTCTTTTAAAGAAAATATACGCTACATAATTGTATGTATTGAGCTGTGATCAGATGACATCATAATTGATGTCATAACTGCTTACTATTTCATTTGTGGTATATTTTCGCTCCATATATCAAGATTTCTCTTCTCCTGCATTGTTATAACTAACGATTATATTAATATATTATTAATGCCATATTTTAACATGGTTTTATTCTGTTTGGCATAGTCCATTACATGGGCAAAGCAATGACCCTGTGATAATATATCGAGAGTTATTTAACCATATGTTTTGTTGTATGGATGTGTTATTTTTTAAAACAATGTAAATGTTTTAGCTTAATAAAGTGCTTTGTCAATGTGACGGTTTTGTTATTGTGATGTTTTTGTTTATTGTTATCATATTTGAGCCACGTCATTACATAACCAACGTAATGCGTTTGCGACCAGCATGGATCCAGACCAGCCTGCGCATCCGCGCAGTCTGATCAGGATCCATGCTGTTCGCTATCAGTTTCTCTACTTTTAATAGGGATGGTAAGCGAACAGCATGGATCCTGATCAGACTTGGTCTGGATCCATGCTGGTCGCAAACCCATTATATTGGTTTTGTCATGACGCAGCTCAATTATGTTTTATGGAGGATGTCAAACTATCACATCATTTAAAACTTTATTCAGAATAGTTCAAATCAATCTGTCCATTATATATACAAGGGGTGTATTAGCTATATTTTTCATTGATAATATTTGAAGGTATCTTTAAAAAAATAATGTATTTACTATACATCCCCTATCTAAAAGTGGTTCTTCAATTATTAGCAATTTGTTAATATTAATCATACAGGAGAGCGTTGTGATAGTTTGAAAACATCTATATTTGTTTTGAAAGCTACTGTTTATTACTCTGCCAATGGTAAATTGACACTGTGATAGTTTACAAATTAGGCAAGTAAAAATGCTGAAGTTAAATATTATTTTAATATTTACATTATTCTTTTAAATATTAAGCAAAGTCATGTTTATTTCATGAATTCTCTAATTATCATACATCTTAACAGATAAATCTACTTCACTGAAGCCACATGTAAAACTACTTCACTGTACCTATATGTAAAAGTACTTCACTGTACCTACATGTAAATCTACTTCAATGCAGTCACATGTAAAACTACTTCACTAAATACTTCATTGCAGTCACATGACAAACTACTTCACTGTACCTACATGTAAAATACTTCATTGCAGTCACATGACAAACTACTTCACTGTACCTACATGTAAAATACTTCATTGAAGCCACATGTAAAACGTCTTCACTGAAGCCACAATGTAAAACTACTTCACTGTACCTACATGTAAAATTACAAATGCACTTTACTGTACCTACATGTAAAACTACTTCATTGCAGTCACATGACAAACTACTTCACTGTACCTACATGTAAGACTACTTCATTGAAGCCACATGTAAAACGTCTTCACTGAAGCCACAATGTAAAACTACTTCACTGTACCTACATGTTAAACTACTTCACTGAAGCCACAATGTAAAACTACTTCACTGTACCTACATGTTAAACTACTTCACTGTACCTACATGTTAAACTATTTCACTGTACCTACATGTAAAATTACAAATGCACTTTACTGCACCTACATGTAAATCTACTTCATTGTAGGCATATGTAACATTACTTCACTTAAATTAATTACAATAGCTGACAATTCTAAAGAGATATTGTAACTAGCAATTCTGGTACATTGTAAACACAGGCAACATTATTTTTCCACAAATACAAACTCAAAGTAATGTAACCACATCCAAAACTACTTCCAATAAAATATTTCAAGCAAATCTTCTTCAGTGGCTTCACAAAATGACCCTTGTATTGAATGAATACATGTGCACAGCTAGGTAAAGTTTACTTCATTGTGGCCATAGGTATAGTCTTTTCATTTAATTATGTAAAAGAAAATAAGTACTGTATTATTAGCCACATATGGGTGCAAGCAATGGCTTATCTTTAAGCATTTTCAGGTCATATTATGTTTTAGCATAGCTATAGGCAATACATTATTAATACATTTCCATTAGTGAACTTGATGTATCATTCATGCTACAGAAAAGTAGATTTACCTGTTAATTCAATCATTGTTTATACATTTTATTCAAGGAAAACAAACACATTTTTTTGTCATTTCTCACCATTGCTACATCTACATCATCAAGTATTAGCAATACATGTAAAGTTTGACTGATATTAATTAAATTTTGAAAGAAAATGCTTAATATTTATATACAAGCCAAAGAAAAGAATGTTAACAGGAATAATATCCTAATTTTGCTGAATTAAGTCTATATGTATGCTTACTTCTTCATAAAAAGATAATGTTATATGTTCTTTTTTTTTAAATAATCTGTGTTATATACATTTTTGTTTTTAATGTTGCAATGACAGCCTTCTGTTTATAGAAGGATCTATGAGTTTGTCATATTGTTGTTTTGATATATCATATTTTTTTTTATCTAGAACCATTTAGTATTGAAGCTTTTGTTTGTGTACCAAAGGGAGACAGAGTTATTGCACCTTCCGTCCAACCATTTATGCTTGCTTAATGAATCCGTCCTAATTTGTGTATATCGGCATTTTTGTTTCTAGTATGTCATTACAAGATCTCATTTTTATCTTTAAATGAATGATACATACAGGATATTCTACATACATTGTCTTGTTGACTTTACTTTAGATCAGTTCAAATTATCAATAAAGAGTTATTGCCCTTGTTCATTATTTTCAGCATGTATTTCTTGGGCATTCCTCAGTTTCCATGGGAACTTTTACAAATATATCCATCAAGTTTTTTCAAGAATTTTTTACAAGTTCTGTTTTGCAAATTTATTTCATCAAAATCTAATAATTCTTTGTGATATGTAATGTGTATATTTTAAAAAAGACCAAGTAGGCTTAAATATACGACAGTATGTTGAAATGAATGCCATACAGTGGTGATCCTGAGTCATTGATACATTATTACATTAGAAAAGAAATTCAATAAATGTCAAGGTCATTTAAACTTTTGGTATGACCCTTTGAGAACTGATCTATGTATTATAATGTGATATATAAACCCATTTTAGATGGCACTTTTGTTTAGCAAACAAGCTGAGGTCAGTACCACAATCCGAGGTCAGTACCACGTGTGATTTTTTCTACATTTGTGATGTACTTTGCACTTTGTTGAGGTTAACCATGTGGTTTTCTCCATAATTTGTTCATAACTCTTTCATTACATGTCAGCATAATAAGATAATGTACAATGTATATGATATCAATGTCAAAAAGTCAAACTGACCCAACAACCCGACATCCAACTTTTCAAAAACCATCAAAATTTGCAAAATGTTTGGAAATAATCAACCCTTAGCCTGATGGAACAGAAAAAAGGTTTAGCTTTTGCCACAAGTATAGAGCCAGGCCAGCCTGTACATCTTTGCAGTCTGACCTGGCTCGTTACTGTTTGTTACCTAAAATTGATAATGGACCGTTTCAAAAAAGGAAGCTGGACAAGTACATTACATAAATTCAGCAGGTTAAGGGTTAATGCAGTTAATTTTTTTATTCCAATGTTTTTTAAGTATATGTATCTGTTCAAGGTGCTCTGATTTGGGGCAAAAAAGGTTTGTTTAAGCAAAAAAGGTGTATAGATTTAAGGCCACTTGAAAAAGAATGCAAGTATTTGTTAACTGTCTCCCATACCTACGTTTTTTTTTTTTAATATGTATGTGCGTTAGAACACCACCAAATATACCACTAAATTTCCGCACCGCAACAAGAAGAATAAGATAGACTACAAGTTAATATCTGTTATATCAATCCTAACAATTGATACACTGCATCAGTAAAGTAAGATGTTATATAGACTAAATCTGTTGTATGAAAGAAAGAAGTGTGAAGACAGTTAACAAACTTTTTTTAGTTATGGCCTTAGACATAAAACTCTGCTATAGTATTTGAACAATTTCAAATGAAACCATATCTTAGTATTCAGAGCTAGCATGTAAAGATTTTATTTGTTGAATGAGTAAAACGATTATATTTCTGTTATATTTGTAACATGGATTTATTTTTTTCCAGCAAATTTACTGCATGGTGCACAATAATATTATGTCACTTTTGATGATCTCCATTTTAATTTCACAAACATTCTCATTATAAATACCAAGTTCATTTCCTACTTAACCATTTAAGTGCTTGTTGTGATTGGCCTGTGTCATCAGTGTTTAATCAGGCTAGCCTGAGCAGACTATAAGAATGGCCCTTAGTTGAAACCCTGATCACCCTGAATATTTTAAATGGACTTGTCCATCTTTGAGTATGGCCAAAACCATTCAAATTTTTTGGGGGAAAATATGAAAATAAGTTATGAGTGAATAGCAAACAGTGCAGACCATGATCAGTCAGCAAAGATCTTGGTCTGCACTGGGCGTATGAATACATTCAGTTGCCACCAGCAGGCATATACATGTATTATCAGTGCTAAAATCCCTATTTTTAATAATAGACAGTTCCAAATTCAAAGCAAGACACTTCCATTACACAAATTCAGGGAAATAAGGGTTCATACATCTATCCTTTGTCCTCCAAAGCAATGAGAGGGAAAAAAATATAACTTGTACCAGTATTCAAGAATTGGTCAAGTTTGCTAATTCTTAGTGGCTTTTCTATTATATATTATGATTTAACTAATATATAACAAAAATATCAAAATTTTAAACACACAGTATCAATAACTGACTAAAATTTGGAAAGAAACAAAGGTTAGGAAAGAAATGAACTTGTAATTTTTTTTATCATTTTAGAGACATTTTAGGGAATCTCAAATTATCATTTTTGAATAATAGTGGATTTTTTTAAAGTTTTAAATGGAGACCATCAATATAAAAGTTTACAATAGACACGTCATTTGTGACTTGGAATTTATTAGTAATAAATGTTTAAACATGTGCTTCATTGTTTTCATTATGTTTATTTGCTACTTTTCATAGCAGAAGTCTAAAAATGAAAGTTACTGTGATTGTCATCTGGTTGGCAATACCTAGAAAAGCAATATGACCTCCAGATAAAAACAATATGACGGCCAGAAAAAGCAATATGACAGCCAGAAAAAGCAATATGACCTCCAGATAAAACCAATATGACGGCCAGAAAAAGCAATATGACAGCCAGAAAAAGCAATATGACCTCCAGATAAAACCAATATGACAGCCAGAAAAAGCAATATGACAGCCAGAAAAAGCAATATGACCTCCAGATAAAACAATATGACGGCCAGAAAAAGCAATATGACAGCCAGAAAAAGCAATATGACAGCCAGAAAAAGCAATATGACCTCCAGATAAAACCAATATGACAGCCAGAAAAAGCAATATGACAGCCAGAAAAAGCAATATGACCTCCAGATAAAACCAATATGACAGCCAGAAAAAGCAATATGACAGCCAGAAAAAGCAATATGACCTCCAGATAAAACCAATATGACAGCCAGAAAAAGCAGTATGACAGCCAGAAAAAGCAATATGACAGTCAGAAAAAGCAATATGACCTCCAGATAAAAACAATATGACAGCCAGAAAAAGCAATATGATCTAAAAAAAAAAGCAATATGGCATTCAAAAAAAGCAATATGTCAGCCGGAAAAAGCAATATGACCTCCAGAAAAAGCAATATGGCATTCAGAAAAAGCAATGTCAGCCAGAAAAAGCAATATGAACTCTAAAAATAGCAATATGACATCCAAAAAAGCAATATGACATATTGTTAGTATAAAGTTTGTTTTATTAGGGCTCGGATCAAATAGGCCATAAGGTGACTTCTAAACTTTTGATGGAAAAACTTCTATACAGTTTACATGCCGGTTTGATTGCACTTTGAAAGTCTTAAGTCTCTGAAACATGCTTGGAATGAGGCTTCTTTCAGGCTCCCAAACAACAGCTTTATTACTAACAGTCATAAAATACTCTAATCATTTTATTGTTATATACCAAAAAATTTAAACATAAAACATATTCCAAAACATAAGAATCTGGCAAGGACTGCTATTTTAAAAAATTGTACTTTTACTAATTTAAATCCAGACTTTTATTTCAAGGAAATTGATCTGTTTAAAAAAAATGTTTGCTCAATCCCACTAAATGGCTTTTTTCATGTTTTATTATATGCATTTCCTTATATGTGGCATTTTAATGTCGTTTGCAATAGCCCCTAATTTGAAACATGCTTATAATATAACCTACAATTTAATGTCAATATAATATCGTGAATAAATCATGGGCATTGAATAAATAAACACAAAAATGTTTCCTTCAAATTCTTTATGATATTTTTTAATCAATCTTTACTAAAAACATTCTTAAACAATATTTAAAAGTACAACAAAAATGTTAAAAAAATAAATTAATATATATATATGTATATACATGTATCACAATATATAATTTGTAAAAACAAAAACAAAAAAAAACATGAATATGAACAAACTTCCTAGATAAAAAAAAATATATCAAAAAATTGAAATGAAAAATTTGAAGACAAGAAATCTTTCAAGTTGAACAACTATACTAGTGGAGGAAGACCACTAGTGACCCTCATCATGTATAAGGCACCTGGATAGAACCGCTGACCTGTATCTTAAACAGTCAAACATTTTGTGGTTAATTACATGGACCCATGTATAGAGGTATATTAAAGTACATGTATATTAAAAAATTGAAGCAAAAGCCACTTCTTTATGTATTTCAATAACAAACTTAATATAGCTATTGATTCAATCTAAAAATCAGTGGGACTGATTATAAAGATTTATAATTCTCTATATTTCAGAAAACAAAATGATTTCAAACACATTTTTTATAGGAAGAAGTAACAAACTATATTTGTATTCAACTTTCATCAGTCAGAGATATTAATATACAAATAGTTGCTTTGGATTCCTTCTATTCCGATCTTAATAAATGAAAAGGTTAGGCTGATTCCGCAATGAATATGTTTACAAACATTCAATATCAGGTTATATTTAGATATTACAAAATATGTAAAGGGAAGTTACTCATCCTAAATTTTCAAAAATGAGACTTGTATACAATCGTGTATAACTACAAAATATTAACTATAAAATATATAAAGGGAAGTTACTCTTCCTTTATTTAAATTTTCAAAAAAAGACACTTGTATACAATCATATGTACAAATGTATCTGTATAAAAAGTTTTCAAACACTTTTTTTTAATAAGACAGCATAAAATTTATGAGAAAGTTAATTTATAAATATATTTAAAAAATAGAACTTGTATCTTGTGTTACATACTACAAACAGTCAGACGAAATATTTTTCAATCTACTTTTCACATGAACAAAATTGTGAACTATTGCAAATGAAGCACAGTAATGTAACTGTCTATCTCTTTGCATTCATCCACTATAAACGCGTATAATTTCTATAATGTCTTTGCGGCAGATTGGACAACCATCACGTCTGTTGATCAGCATGGCGGCACACATGTAGCATGTGACCATGTGATGACACGGTCTCATCACACAGTCTCGAGCTTTATCCATACATATTGCACAATCTAAATCATTGTCTGATGTTGACACTGTAATGGTAAATACAACAGTAATATAGACACTGCAAATAACACTTGAGCCAATTGCCTGTACAGTGTAAAACCAAATGGCTTTGTAACATACATGATGTACATAAACTATATCTTTAATCATGTTTTTACTTAGATTAATAAATTTAATGCTGAAACTATATTCATGTTATAAGAGTTAAAAATTAGATAATAACATAAAATAAGAGTGGCAAGAATGACTGAGTGGTTGACATGTTAGACTTGTAATTTAAGCATCGCTAGCCGCGTGGGTTCAAACCCTGCCAGGGGCAAGCTATGATCGCTAGTGGCATGGGTTCAAACCCTGCCAGGGACGATCTAGGATTGCTTACAGCATGGGTTCAAACCCTGTCAGGGGCAAGCTGGGATCACTAGTTGCATGGGTTCAAACCCTGTCATGGGCAAGCTGTCATTAAATCACAAACAAAAACTTGACACTGATTTGTTAAACAACTGTAAATACCTCTATTATCTTGTACACCATGACTGGTTCCACCTTCTACACTTATCTGTCTCAAATTTGGTATTCCATGAACAAAAGTGGTACCCATTCCAGAACTAACTTTCATTTCCTCTTGTCTGGCTGAAAACAAATATCACAAACTGTCAGCAAACCATTCATAGAGCAAAAATGTTTTATTCTATGTTTTTTTTCTCTAATCTATAATGATTAATGAATGCAAAATCTGTAATATTTAATTTTCACTTTGATTTTCATTTAAGTAAGAGGAGGGTCTCTTGACACATAAAATTGAATAATACGTACAAATTGTGTGAAGAATTCTATTTTTAAGATTGGTTTATATGGTCATGAGACTTGTGTTGTAATCAACAAAGTAAAAAATTTACAGATCTTAATACTTTTACACTGGCTACCAGCACCGACTGAAACACACTGTGTGCTATCTTACAGATAATAGTTAATGCTGGTAACAGACCTATTCAAGTTTGAAAAATATTAACAAATTATAATTATATCTTTATTACTATTTTTTGAAATATTGTATAATTACATTCATTACAGCACCACAGAATGATGTCATTAAAAGCATGCCATTCATTTATAAATAATTATTTATAAATCGGACAGAATGACAATCACATAGTCACATAGAAAGTGTAAGATAACATTATCCATTACTGTTGTTAGCACTAGAAAATCTAGTCTCATATGTAACAAAGACATACAAATTTTTCCAATTGCCATTACGGCTGGCATTTTATATAATTTACAAATCGACTTTATTTCCATTTGCCATCACAGCAAATATTTTATATCAATAACAAAATGACTTTATATACAACTGCCATTGTGTCAAGTATTTTACATCAATTACAAATTGGCGTAACAAGAATGTTTTAATACCTTTTTTCCTATCGTCTCTTTGATCTTCTGTTAGTATAAGAGGTTCTGATCCAGAGCGAAAAAACAACGTTTTCCCCATCTTCTCTAACAAGTTCCTCACTACAATATAAAACATTCTCACTATAATATAAAACATTCCATCTAGAATATAAAATTAACAGTTTTAATGGGTTTTAGGGTATATACATGTATATATAGAAACAGGACTATAACAATTTGAATGGTCAGCCCGCATAGCTCAATCAGTTAGAGTGCCAGACTTGTAATCTCCAAATTGTGGGTTACATTCCTGGGCCGACCAACTTAAATTACTAATATCAGATTTTCGGATGAGACTTTAAATCGAGGTCCTGTGTATGAGTGCTTAAACACTTAGCAAGCTAAAGAACCAGGAAAAGCTTCTGGAAATGGGGCATCTGCCTGTGTCTGTATCTCGCAACACCCTTTAAAATCTAAAATGAATAATACTCTTACGGAGGACTCACCCAATGCCATCTGGGCAACCGGTGTCGAGTATAAATAAACTCACACACACTCACAATTTAAATGCTAGCAGTGATAATGACTCGATGTACAGTGTACAGCTAGGTTTGACTGCATTTATACTGGAAGACTCATCAGGCTACATGATTTATGGATATTAAAATCTAAAGTCTCACATAAACATTGTTTAATTCTTGTTAAATTCTTGATAAAATCATAATACAAATGTACATATTGTATAATATTATTTAATAGTTTGAAGTAAATGTCAATTCTGGACAGAAATTGTTATTATATTATACTCTTAGCTTTTAATAAGTTAATTGTACTCAATATTGTTATAATGGTGACCAATCAGTAATATCATATTGACGACATCATTGCCAACACAAATGTTGAAGTTATTTTTACATCAACCACTTGTTTCAGACGTAAAGTAGAATAATAAACAAAACAACAGGACATTGTCACAAACCAAGTTTTTCTAGCAATATTACATGTGTGTAAAAGGGCCATAATTCTGCAAAATATGATCAAATTATAGACATCCAACAATATATGCCAGGGTACTGGACAACAATCATTCTTAGTTAGTTTGACTGAAATCCCTTGAGAAATGTAGCAGGCATTGCACAGGAAAGTAAATGTTTGCCCCCACCCTTCCCCACCCCGCCACAAAAAAGCCAAAATATTTCAAGAAAGCCAAACTTGTGAAAAAAATGTACTTTTTTGTTGATTATAAAAGGTAAAGGTATTGTTTATTTTACTGTCACCCTTGCTAAAAGGGCCAGCTATTTCTGACTAATGAGACACATTTTGCTTGCATACCATTTACCCCCCAACTCCCACCATTATGCCAGGCAGATAGAAATCGGTAACCATTATAACAACCTCGCTGCTCATGAAGTGGCCATTTCGGAACGAGTCCAACGAGTAACATTCATCCTCCAATTAACGCTCCCTGTGGAGCTTGAACCTTTTACCTCCCCATCTGATTATATTTTATCTTGTTTCTACCTACAGTTGACTCTCGGTAACTCGAAATCCAAGGGACTGGGAATTTTACTTCGAGAGAAACGGAATTCGAGTAACGTGGAACTGCCGCCATTACGTTGACATTCATACATGTATATACATGTGCCTGATTAAATGTGCATTGTAGTAGGTTTGTTATTGTTGTTACAGGCAATACTGCAATATTTAACCGTTGAAATGACGGTAAATCACTTACAACTACTAATTATAAATGAACAAAAATATATCATTCAAAATTTAATACATGTATATTAATAGTGAAACATAAACACACAATTATATTTGATTCGATTGATCATCGTACGAAAATGAAAGTAGCAAATATCGTGAACCGGAAGTACAAATTAATGTATGCAAAATGACGGAACATTAATTATACAAATGTCATTTACGTTGATTATGATAACACACATCAATACCTAGGCTGTTATTTGACTAAAACCTGTCAGACTGGCTCGAGTCAACTTTCTTAAAGAAATGTAATTAAATTTTAATTTAGTTATCTAACTGTTAAAACCAATTAAGTGCTGAAACGGATTAAAGCCACTTATACGACGTGTTAATAATACGTGATGACCGGCAATTAAAAAATTACTATGAAAGGTGTAAATCACGAGTGACAACATCTCACCTTGATATCGCCAACCTTTGATCCGTCAGCTGTTTTCACACTTAGACTAATTGAGATGAAAATCTGTTGGGCTTTAATTGACGGGACCAAATTTTCTTTTCGACTAAACAGGAGTCTCGGTAAGTCAAAATTTGACCTAAGTGGAGTTAAAATACAATGATAAAGAAGGAAAATTGAAGGGACTTTAGAAATTCTTCGACTAACGCGGAATTTTGAGTAAAGCGATTTTGACTTATTGAGAGTCAACTGTATATGCAATTGAAATATTAAATCTGGAGGGATGCTACTTTAAAAATATCATATGCAGTTGAAATATTAAATATGGAGGCATGCGACTTTAATAATATACCTTTCTCAATCACCTGTCCTGAAGTGTAGTTGTTCGGTGTAATCTCTACTTCCGGTATGTAAAAGACTGGATAAAGGAACCGGAGACCTAAAGTCCGCTAAAATATATCAAGATCAAGAAATCAAAAAAAATATTGGGTTGTTTTGCTTGAACAAGATAAAAATACATCAACAAAATAAATCTCTTCAAAAACTAGATTATTGTATTAATGAAACAAATTCTTGTGATTAATGTAAATCAATCACTTATTTGTTAAGTAAAGTCAACAATTTTAGAAAATGATCGCTTAAAAGTACATGTATTACAGGATCTAGATTTTCTACATAAGCTATACTTACCTGTAATAAAAATAACCATATCATATAATATCTCAGCATAATGTATTGTAAATTGTAGGTTATATAACACTTTGCCAGGACACCTAAACACTTAACATAAAATAATTCTGCAATGAAACAATAACTGACCCAAATGTCATTTACATTCATTACCCCTCACTCTTTTTTTGTAATGTTAATTTCCCATAGGCCAATGAGAGTTATATTAAAAAATTTTACTATTGATTCAAGAGTATCATGTGACTGAAACATAGGTAACAGTATGAAAAATAATCTTTATATTGAAACAGTGTCCCAATTCAGTATTTCTTAGGGTGTAATAAAATAAATAAAACACAGGTTTGTGAGTAACAACAAAAATGTCATCCCTCGTAAAAATAATGTTATCCTTGGGTAACGCTCTGGGTAACAGTATTTTCATCAGGATGATATTTTTTCTGTTACACACAAACCTATGTGTTATTTATGTAATGTATTTACTTTGATATATTTATATAAGTAGCTGATATTTAATATCAGCTACATATATAAATATATCAAAGTATATGAGCCGCGACACGACAAAACCAACATAATGGGTTTGCGACCAGCATGGATCCAGACCAGCCTGCGCATCTGCGCAGTTTGATCAAGATCCATGCTGTTCGCTATCAGTTTCTTTACTTTTTATTGGGTCTGTAAGCGAACAGCATGGATCCTGATCAGACTGCGCGGATGCGCAGGCTGGTCTGGATCCATGCTGGTCACAATCGCACTATGTTGGTTCTGTCGTGACACGGCTCAAATCATAAACAAGGTCATACCTCTTTGTTTACTGTTCTCTCAACAATTTCTGTGACATTTAACCTCAGTGTATTTGTAGCAATTATTGTTCCTGGTTTGCAAAGATGTGACACTCCTGAAAAATACCAAAAAAATAACACTTGTTAACAGAAATCGATCAACATTGGCCCCTATTAATACACATGCAACTGTCTTGCACACATCTCTACAACTTATTTAGGTTATTGAACTGGTTAAATAAGTTAAACTAAGCATACTCAATATATTGAATACAACTAATTACTTAATTTAAACTGAAGAGAAAATCCACTACATAATAAAATCATTGTATTAATTATTACACTTTTATAAAAAATATCATTCAATTTTCAAAACAGTTTTTTTCTTTAATATATCTTACTAATCAGGTCCTTTCAAACATTCTTGTCATTCAAAATTATGTTTTTTAATAAACAAAATTTGATCTCTATCAGTTCTTCTCTTAAAGTGGATTGGTCTATAATGAACACAATTTCCAAGTATTTCAAATATTGATAACAACAATAAACAAGAGGGCCATGATGGCCCTGAGGTCGCTCACCTGTATATAGGCCCCCCACCCCCGGGCCAATTTTTACCCAAGGGCTTTTATTTGTTTATTTGAACAGACTTGGTAGACACCCATAAGAAGATGTTTCATGCTAAACATCTAAGTTCTAGCTCATTGGCTTTTTTAAAAGAAGATTTTTAAATTTTTTACTATACACATATAGTTAAAAACAATGTCACCCCTGGGGCAGGGCCAGTTTTGACCCCCAGGCGTTTATTTTTACAAACTTTGTAGATATTTACTTAAAGATGTTTTATGCTTAATATCTAAACTCTAGCTATTTGGGTTTTTCCAAAGAAGATTTTTAAGTTTTTGCTATACACATATAAGGAAAATCAATGACCCCCCCCCCCCCCGGGCGGGGCCAGTTTTGACCCCAGGGCTTTTATTTGAACATACTTGGTAGACACCCATTAGAACATGTTTCATGCTAAATATCTTAGCTCTAGCTCTTTGAGTTCTTTAAAAGAAGATTTTTTAAGTTTTTACTATATGCAAATAGGGAAAATCAATGACCCCCGGGGCGGGGCCAATTTTGACCCCAGAGCTTTTATTTGAACAAACTTGGTAGACACTCATTAGAAGATGTTTCATGCTAAATATCTGAGCTCTAGCTCTTTGGATTCTTTAAAAGAAGATTTTTTAAGTTTTTACTATATGCATATAGGGAAAATCTATGACCCCCTGGGGCAGGGTCAATTTTGACCCCAGGGCTTTTATTTGAACAAACTTGGTAGACATTCATTAGAAGATGTTTCATGCCAAATATCTAAGCTCTAGCTCTTATGGTTCTTTAAAAGAAGATTTTTTAAGTTTTTACCATATGCATATAGGGAAAATCAATGACCCCCGGGGCGGGGCCAATTTTGACCCCAGGGCTTTAATTTGAACAAACTTGGTAGACACTCACTAGAAGATGTTTCATGCTTAATATCTTAGCTCTAGCTCTTTGGGTTCTTTAAAAGAAATTTTTTTAAGTTTTTACTATATGCATATAGGGAAAATCTATGACCCCCTGGAGCGGGGTCAATTTTGACCCCAGGGCTTTTATTTGAACAAACTTGGTAGACATTCACTAGAAGATGTTTCATGCCAAATATCTAAGCTCTAGCTCTTATGGTTCTTTAAAAGAAGATTTTTTAAGTTTTTACTATATGCATATAGGGAAAATCAATGACCCCCGGGGCGGGGCCAATTTTGACCCCAGGGCTTTAATTTGAACAAACTTGGTAGACACTCACTAGAAGATGTTTCATGCTTAATATCTTAGCTCTAGCTCTTTGGGTTCTTTAAAAGAAGATTTTTAAAGTTTTTACTATATGCATATTGGGAAAATCAATTACCCCCTGGGTCGGGGCCAATTTTGACCCCAGGGCTTTTATTTGAACAAACTTGGTAGACATTCATTAGAAGATGTTTCATGCCAAATATCTAAGCTCTAGCTCTTACGGTTCTTTAAAAGAAGATTTTTTAAGTTTTTACTATATGCATATAGGGAAAATCAATGACCCCCAGGGGCGGGGCCAATTTTGACCCCAGGGCTTTTATTTGAACAAACTTGGTAGACACTCACTAGAAGATGTTTCATGCCAAATATCTAAGCTCTAGCTCTTATGGTTTTTTAAAAGAAGATATTTAAAGTTTTTTCTTTTGGTTGCCATGGCAACCAGAGTTCTGCATGGAATTAAATTCTTTGAACAATGTTTAAAGGTGACCACCAAAGGAACATTCCTGTGAAGTTTGGATGAAATTGGCTGAGTGGTTTATGAGGAGATGTCATTTAAAGCAAAAGTTTACGGACGGACGGACGGACGACGGACGGACGACGGACGGACGCCGGACGAAAAGCGATCACAAAAGCTCACCCTGTCACTTTGTGACAGGTGAGCTAAAAACAATAAATCAGTGTCTATAAATAATGCTTGAGAAAAAAGGTGTTGATAAAGTTATGAGTGATTTAAAACAAACATTTTTATGATGAAAAATAATATTTTTTTTATAACATTTCATTATCTGCTATATGAATATTTATAATATAAGATCATGTATCCTTACTTGCGTACAACATACATATTCTTCCGTGGTTTGTTTGTCTGATACTAAACACTATCAACGTAATTATTTATTGCATTGCAGACCTTTCAATAAAGACCAATTCACTTTAAAGTAACATAACTTTTAAAATCAAATACTGGTAGTGGTCGATACTTAATATCAGTTCAATAGCTCTTGAAATTTTATCTTTTAAAGCACAAACTTTCAAATAGATCCTTCTTCATTTCCAAATCTTCTGGTATACATTCAAACACAAAGTCAGCATCACATACTGTCTCTTCCAGCCGACTCAAACACAAAACTTGACCCTGAAAATGTATACAATTTGTCACCTTAGTGCAATAACTGGTTAACTCTTATTAAATTTAGAAAGACTTTACTTGTTGACTGCACCAAGGTGTCTGTCATCATAAAATGTTAATAGTTTCATATCTTTATCATTGCATATTGCAAGTTCTAACCCTTGCAAAAATTAATGTTGCAAAATATCTTAAATGGACTTGTCCATCTTTCAATCTGGACCAAAACATTCACCATTTTTAGGGAAAATTTCAAAATATACATTGACTGAATAGCGAACAGTGTTGACCATGATCAGACCTCACTGGTCACATTGGTACAGTCTGTTGTGCCAGCAGGGCAAGAGAAAATGTTGCACAAAACACATGCCAAAACATGGCAGTTAAACAACTGTGATCACAAAAGCTAAAAATTGATGGAACATTGATTGGCATGCCAATATAAGACAAAACTACCGTTATCTCACTAGATTAAACCCTAAACATACCAATGTGCACAATTTTAGTTTGTAAGTTTTTAACAATATAAGCATACTCAGGGCTTTTTTACCTTATATAATGGGGGCCTATAAAAGGCCCTGTCACAATCCAAAATTTCACTTATTTTCACAAAACAGAAATCACAATTCCTTGCAGATTACGCAAATTATCAAACTTTAATTTTAGATAATAGATACTAGATTGTTTTTGTTTTACTTTATAAATCCAATAGGATACTGGATAAATGTATAGAAACTCATTTTGACCAATTTGAATCAGTGAGTTAAAATATTTAAAGCAATCTTCCCTTTAATTTGTTCAAAATTACTTTTTCACAATTGTTCTATTTACCACACTATTTTTTCACAAAATGACCAGGCCCAGGCTCCTTCATAATTTTGGCAAGAAAAGCCCTGATAATAACAAATACTTTGACATTTTGACAGCAACTTTTGAAAATATCTTCTGTTACATGTACATAAAATGTACCTCTTGTTGCTGAAAAATCAATATTGAACTTTAAGACGATAAATTATATGGAAGCGTTCAGTAACAATTTAAGATTAGTTGTAACTAGCACCAAATAATCACAGAGACCACTGGGGCTGGTGAAATTAAAGCTCATATCACAAAAATCTGCTAAAGAATTCATTCCAATTAAGAGAAAATATACTAACTATGAAGTTTTTGTTAAGCAAAATGCCATCTTGTCTTAATTGGTGCTTATCTTCTTCCATTCGTTGAAAAACTGTATTTAAAGAGTCCAAATGATTGGAATATATTTTCACTCTATGTCCATGATAAGCTAATTCACCTGAAATATAAATAGTCTAAACCTTAAACCTGTTGACTTTGTGGATTCTAGGCTTTTCTTACTTCTATAGCATGGACTGTTTAAATGCGGCTTCAACACAGAAAAATTCTTTAAAATCATGCTGTTTTCACCAAAAAATTGACTTTACATCAAGTTTTTGCTACCTCTTTTGCAAATATACTGTATATATTTTCTCCCAAAATAAAGGGCAGGGTTACTTCCCCAACCTGTGAAAAAAAAGCCCATGGATTTGCCTTACTTTGAACATTTCAATATATCAAAGTACAAAAACATCTGCTACTAACAGTATGATTCACTTTGGGTTGGGTAGTCCAAAATATTAGAAAACCATTTCACTTTCAGTTTATTATTCTTTATCTGTATAAATATATAGTTCATTGCTTTTCCAGCACGGTCATGTGTCCCAACTGCGGCAGCTGATAGAACAACTGCATTTCTGCTACTAAACTGATACAAGTGTAGACAAATTTAGGATACATTTGTATTAGTTAACTGTTAAGCAACTACATTTACTATTAAAATGTTTATCAAATTATTTGTTTATGTATTTGATTAAAACTACTATACATTTTACTAACACTTTTGTCTACAAATATATCCCGCCTCTACAATCAAACATAAATCACAATTTAAAATTTTTTGACAATTACAGACAATTCACCCCTCAGCCACTTCATCCCAAGCCATTTTTGCAGACACTTCAACCCTTTTGTAGTCCAATAAATCACACGTTACAGGCTTGTTATAGTTTATATCAGTCAAGCCAATGTCTAATAGTTATTGCTGATAAACGCATAGCATCATAAAAAATGAAAAAATGTCTATTGTCTTGCCTTATGCTTTTCTTTCAAAATCATGCTCAATCATCAACAAAAACTCTCAAACAATGTAGTTATTAATGTAAAATAAAATACAAACATCGATCTATTTTTGCCTATCGGCCATACTTATTAAGTAAAGTGCTTTACAGATTGATTCCAAATTTTTGAACAGAAAAATATATTCATATACGTTGGCAGTGCATGGGCAAATATTTCATTCAAAAATATTTTGTTTGAAATTTCTGACTCATTTAAATGCTTGCATTTGAATTCGCGGATTTTGTGACAGCCATTTGTTTATCGGCTGTATAAGGAATTTAATTAAATAAGAGGATTTAATCATGATTTTTCAGATGTGTCTGATGATGTGACAGTTTAATTATTTTGTTAAAAGTTACATGTATTTATTTTTCACTTTTGTTCATGAATAGGTCAAAATCAAAGTAATTATACGCTGATTTAAGTGATTTTTCGTTCCTCCTGATTTTCTTGCAGAACATGCAATGCGTTTTTGAGCAATTTCAATAATAATGACATTGCTTTGCCAAGAAGCAAAATTATCTCAAAGCGACGTCATTTTTTTTGGACTACCCTCTTTTGATGAAATCAAAACATACTAAAAACTACCAGAAGTAAAATATTTTATAAAAAATAACTTACAATCAAGAAATCAACAAATAAAAGGTGTATTTGTTATGGAAATATTTACTCCAGAACTAAAAAGGGTTTGAAATAATAAGGGTTGAGGGATGAACCGTCTTACTGATTTTGGGAGTGTGGTTCCAAATTATTAATTTATCCATGTGTTTGAAGTTTTTTTCTTTCGTTCAGATTTATTTTAATGATATCGAACTTAATGGTTACATGCAAATATGTCTATTGTATTTCTTTGGCCTATGCAATTGGAAACAACGGCAAAAGAAGTGGAGAACTCCTACCAAAATGGATCGCGAAAACACATTACTAATTAAATATTTAGCTAATTGACGAGACTAAAGAAGAATTTATCTAGAAATCATAACAATATCAAAATTGTCTGTTTATTTACCTGCTATTTTGGTACCCAACAGTCCACTTCCCAAAACTGCAACCTTAACCATTGCTTAAAATATCAAAATTATGGGTTTGTTTATGTTTGCAATCTCTAAAAAAAAATGTGAGTTGTCGTTCTTGGTTCTCAAATAGGTTGTATATTACTAATTTTTGTCTCTTAGGCTTTATACCTCTAATAATCTCATGTTAATTATATGCATTGTATACACACCTGTCTCTCAAATATCGACAGTAAGACCGGTGTACACAATGAATTATATGAGAACGACAAATAAGGATTTAGCATAGAAATTTCAAATATTCCATCGTTTTGAAGTTCAAGCTTCATGTACAACCTCCTACATGACATAAAAAAAATGAAATCTGATAACATAACATAGACATTAACTTTGAAAATTTAATTAGTTGGTTTTCTTGTTGTTCTTGTTCTGTCGTGTGTGTTTTCTTGTTCTTTTTTTGGGTGGGGGGGGGGGTGGGGTGGGGGTGGGGTGGAGTTTTTAACACATTTTTTGGTAATACATCTGTCATCGGTGGTCAGTAGCAAACCAGAAAATGTCAATTTCACTTTAAATGAGGAACCATGCAATAATTCAACATTATTTCTGACTCAGTGGTGATATGACTCAATGTATCAAATATCACTTGCCACGGAAAAAAAATCGACTGGCCCGAGGATCGAACCAGTGACCCCTGCATTACAATTCCGACTGCATGGTCTCTCTATACAGCTTAAGCAGACTAAATATGTAAGGAGCCCCATTAAGAAATACAAGCAGTGTTTGTAGTTGAAGGCAAGTAGGTTTATAACAAATGGAAGGGAGATATTCTAAAAACTGTCTTTTTCTTGTGATTAAAATGACACATGTTTATCAAAATATTATATTAGGTCGAAATTTTTGAACTTAGAACATATTGAAACGTATCTGTTGATCTGTAAACATGCCGTATCTCTCCCTTATTAATACTGCTTGTACACGTACTTTCAAACATTCCACTTTAAAATGTGTTCTTTTAGTAACAATGCATTATGTTAAGCTGAACGACGAGAGCAATTTTAGTGCTCAAGTTAAAGTGTACTTTTGTGATTCGCTAATGTCCTTCATCCGGCGTCATTCACATTATCGAATGTAAAATGACTTTTGTGTTAATATACTTTGTGGCTGATATTCTTTAAAATGAATTGCTGTAATATATATACCATGTGTGACATTCAATCACCAGAAAACCATGCTGTTACAGTAATACCCCACGTTTTATAGGAGCAATGCATTTTGTACAGGTTGTGTAACATATAAGGAGATATGTAGTCTGGCATGGGTTTAGTGTTATACAATGCAGTTTAAGCAACTCCAATTCCTGAAATGATGCACGAAGCGGCTTTTGAGACCTTCCTGCAACCGAAAAGATGGAAAGTCACAACATGACCGTTAAAGTGTCAATTTGACTGAAAATCCGACTAGTAACTCCAGTGAAATACAATTATAATACAAAATGCAGCAAAATGCATTTATAGTCAGAATATAGAGAATTTGTAATGGTACCAAAACGTTGTTCTGTGTTGCATTACGATATTGGCCATTATAATGGTACAGTGATGTTGCAGTGAAACGTCAGTGCTATGTTTCTACAATACTACTAAGATATAATAAAAACTTATTGTTGCAACTGTTGTTTTCACAACCTTTGAAATAAAAGAAACTTAAAATTGAAACCAAAATGCAATGTGGATAATAAATTACATCTCAAAATTTATAAAGAAAGTTATTTTTAAATTATAAAGTTTCAATTACAATGTAATTAAAAACCCTTCTAAAATGAAACACATGTGAATTCTTAAGATTCTTAACATCAGAATAATAAATTCCAAACAAATCTTGAATAACAAAAAATATGTCACAGACTACATGTGTAAATAGCTCTATCGTCCATTTATCAGAACCACACCTAACGCTCTCAAGTACAAGTTATTTTACAATCCTTTGTTACTACAGCACCTCGTTTAAAAAGAATTGAATAAAAGTGAAATCCTGATATTCCTAACCAGCTGTTATATGAGCTGCGTCACGACAGAACCAACATAATGGGTTTGCGACCAGCATGGATCCAGACCAGCCTGCGCATCCGCGCAGTCTGATCAGGATCCATGCTGTTCGCTATCGGTTTCTATACTGGTTATAGAGTTTGTAAGCGAACAGCATGGATCCTGATCAGACTGCGAGGATGCGCAGGCTGGTCTGGATCCATGCTGGTCGCAAACCCATAATGTTGGTTTTGTCATGACACGGCTCATATATTGATTTTTGTTATTAAATTGTAATAATTGCAGCAATATTTTTTTTTTTCATTTTAGAAAATGCTTCATGTGCGCTGTTTTATGTTGGCTTTTTGTTTCCGCAAGATCGTTGTTTTGTTTAAGAAATACGTACAAGCAGTAGCTGAAAGCAGGCAGGTTTATTACAAATAAAATGGAGATATTCTGAAAACTACTTTTGCAATTAAAATGACATATGTTTATCAAAATGTTATAAATTTCTTATTCACGTTTGAAGTTTTAGAAGCAGGAATGAATACATAAGAACATATTGAAACGCTCCTTTTCATCTGAAATAAACCTACCTATTGCATTTAAGCTGACGACTGCAGCTACCTAATGTCCTTGATCCGGCATCATCCACATAATCGAATTTCGAAAATGACTTTTGTGTTTTCATACTTGTCCTGTGGTTTATTCGAGAATACTTTCAAGAAATGTAATTGTTCCCTGTGCTGTAAATGTAACATTTAAATGAAAAGATATACATGTATTACTATATATCATACACTTTTACTTCCATAACTATACGCGCTTCCGCAAATTAAATCGCACGCGCATGGTTTTTGTCACAATAAGACACAAAATTTAGACATGAAAGAAGGCCTTTTTTATTTTAAGGCAGTGGTAGGCGAAGGTCAATGTAAACTTTCAATTTGACAAAGTGACCAAGTTCATATCATGATATTTAAGAGTTGCGATTCTTGTAGCAATTGCTTTTCATTTATTGAGTGTGTTAATTTGATACTGCATTCACTATTGTACAGTATTTCTAAGTCTTACAGAAAATCGTAATTCCAGTCACATGCTTTTTGCTGTAATATCTTTTTTTCTGCCGCAGCTCCGTCTCCTTGTAAGCTATCAACTATCTAACAATAGCCTAAGAGCCAATTAAGGGCCATTTAATCATTTTTTTTTTGTCCAAATCTGAAATTTAGACCAGAGCAAGTACAAAGTCTCTCCTCTACAAAAATCCAAATCTTACAAAATTTTTGCTTTCACAACGCCTCAGAATCCAAGATGGCGTCCAATATGGCCGCAGATTTTATGCATATGGTTAATTTTACAGCAAAGATCATACCGTTTTCGATAAAAAGGTGTTCAAACATTTCAGAAATAATCAGATTATAATTAAATAACAATGAAATATATAGCTTTTCAGGTTTTTGTCTTAAAATTTTCAAAATGTCAAAGAAAAATACCTATTTTTGAGTCTATATACTTGCTCTGGTGTAAGTTTCAGATTTGGACACAAATTTTAATTAAAGGGGGCCTTGACTCTTAGGCTACAAATTCATGCCCGATTTTTCTGACAACACACCGGCAGTAACAAAGTTTTCAGAAGAACTCTTCGACATTTGAAAAAAAAAAGGTAGCCGGGGCTTTATGTTTGCATCTTTCCATATATTTATAATTAGATAATTAAGTGTGGCAAGAAGGAAGATCATAAATGAGCAGGTCAAAATTTCAACAATGTCTGCTTGATAATCATTACATTGATTTTATATAAAATATACGAATATGACATTTGAGCCGCGTCACGACAAAACCAACATAATGGGTTTGCGACCAGCATGGATCCAGCCCAACCTGCGCATCCACAAAACCAACATAATCGGTTTGCGTCCAGCATGGATCCAGATCCATGCTGGTCGCAAACCCATTATGTTGGTTTTGTCGTGACGCGATTCAAATTTTATATTTTCAAACGTACCTGCTGCTGTCAGAAATATCATTATGAAGGTGGTCAACTACCATCTCAATAGCAAACCACGCCCTTAAAATAATGAAACCACTGATACTAAATTATAAATAGGTTAATATAACATGATGACATTGTTTAATAATAGCGGAATGTTTTTATGTGTCATTATCTTAAAAATGTGTAAGGTCATTGTAGAAATGTATAAACGGAATCATTAGGAGCGACTTAAGCGATTTCCGTTTCCGACCAACCAAGTTTATAACCTGCATGTAGTAATCAATAAATTTTAGATTTCTGTCATCACTGCAACAATCTGCCATCACTAGCGCAGGTAATACGGTGTGGTCAGCACTGCAGCAATCTGCCATCACTTACGCAGGTAATACAGGGTGGTATACCACAATTGCATGTAAACTGGCCAGTGACGTCTCTGTAATGGAGACTGAATTAATTACTTTTACTTTCCGGGTATTAAACAGTAATAAAGAAAAAATGTGTTAATCATTCTTTTTATACTTCAAAGAATATGACATACTAAAATATAATGTTATCTTATATTAAATCGAGATATTCAAACGAAGTTGTCATCACGTATTTATATGGCATATTTCTTTATTAAAAAGAATTAATCATGAAGATCGATTAGAAAGAATTGGATCAGGCTTTTTCTATTTGAAAGACCCTGATTAGATGTTCAATTTTATTTACACAATTTCCTATCAATTAGAAGGACTATATTAAATGCCAATTGTCCATTTGGCGTGATACCAGAGAAACATTGACAATTTTCACATAATAAGTTTTAAGGTCAGCTTAACTTTTAAAAGCTTAACTTATATAAAACATTTTATAAGTCAAATAAACTATCGACAATGACGACGACGACGATGAAGATGATGAAATGATGATGATGATCATGACGATGATGATCATGACGACGACAATGATTATGATGATTATGATGATTAGGATGATGATGATGACTTTATGATTTGTAAATGCGTTACAATAATGCGTTTTTTGTTTTAAAACCATATAAAGTGTCTACTTTCACTGCCTTGTGTGTCACAGTTGGTGACTTATTGTAAATTGGTCTCTTAC